CTAAAGTTATAGAGTTTACTACCGGGTGGCAAGGTTGGTTGCCATGTGGCGGAGTTCATTGCCGCATGATAAAGTTGGCTATCACGTGACATTTTTGACCGCCACATGGCAGATTTCATGAGACGCATCAGCAAAATTGGATTTTGATGAACTTGAGCACCAAAATAAATAAAAATTAAAACTTGGGTAGGAAATCATGATAAATCAACGATTAGGCATCAAAACAGAAAAAAAAAAAAAATCAAAACTTGGGTACCAAAAAAGTCTTTCTCTCTTTTTACTATACAAACAGCACCATCATTCTTCTCTATCACTTTCTATAGTGGTTACATCATTTTTTTCAAGATATATTAGTATTATTACTATATTACTAGTCCATTATTACTACTACTACCAGTATCTACTCCTCCTACATAATCACTAATGCAATATTTTTATTATTTTTACTATCATTATTGTTGATAAGATTATTTTTCGAGCATTATTCTTATTCGACTTAAAAACCAAATAACAAAATTAGTTTTTTCATAATTTTTTTATGTGACTATTTGTTTGGTCTGTCTTATTATTATTATTATTATTATTATTTGTCTTCACTCTCTTTCACATAAAGCAATCTCTTATAAAATTGATTGTTTGAGCTTTAGTCTTGATCAAATTAATAGTATCATTTTTTCTTGAAAATTACTAATATGTTTATACCTTTTCAACATTCTTGATCTAATTTGACAATGCAAATTTAGTTAAACATCTTGTTCTGTAAAATAATGTAATATATGCTTGCAATTGAAAAAAAAAATTGGTCTAGAGTTTTTCTTATTCTGGTGTTTCCTCTTTTATTATTAATTAGGCCTAAACAATCTATCTCAATACCTAGAATATGTATGTCCTGGTTTAAGCCTAATTTTTGTTTTTTTGTTTTTGTTTTTGTTGACCTTTATTTATGTATTTCTTCTTTCTTTCTTTTTTGGTATTTTCGTAGGGGTAAAAATAAGATAATGACGCTTTCTATTATACTGTAGTCACAGATTTGGAATTAAAGAGGAAAGGAAATTTAAATTTCACCGCTTCATTCACCAAGGGGTAAATGTTTTTCTGCAATCAAACATCAAACCCGTAAGCTTTTTATCCTTACATCACGTGAAGGATCACAGAATTGTATTAGTTCTTGTGGTTCTGTAAATTAGATCCTGCTGCTAAACTCTAAGAAAGTGATAACTGGGTATATAAGGTGCCGAAGCATGCGATTTAAAATAGTTGATGAACAATATCAATTTTGAAGTTAATTCCTATCCAAATTTATATTCTCATGCTCAATATCTTCATAAGCTGCTAAAGTGATCAGATTTTAGTATTAGTAAGCTTCTTTTATAGTAGAAAAAACTTTCTTGTTTGTGGTTGTAACTCTAATTTCATTTGAAATAATCCACAATCCAATTTTCAATTTCTTCTCCAAATACATATTTGCGACAGCTCCCATAAGCACAAGAAGAAACATTGACTTTTTAAGTTGTCGTTAAATACAAGATGCATTTGAAATTGATAACAACAATTACCTCTAACACTTTGGAAAATCTGTGACGAATCAATAAACCCACCGCAATAAGCACTTTGAGTGAGGATTATGGGATGCAATTGTGAAGGAGAGAAACCAGGAAAAAAATAACATAATTAAAAGAAAGGAAAAGAAAATTAAAAGAACACAAGGCTTTGGAGAATAATTAAGAGGGAAATTTTGGGTTTTTGGTGGCAATTTTTGGAGGCTTATGGGATGCAATTGTGAAGGAGTTAAATTGCTTTTAATGCTTGAATAACTAACGAGGAAGAGACATAACAACTGCAGCAGCTAAAAATAAATAAATAAATTCAACAAGAATCCCAATAAATTGAGTAAATTATAAATTAGTCCTCTTAGTTTTATAAAATTAATTAAATAGTCTTTTTTATTTTTAAAAACTAATTAATTAGTTCCTCAACTGTTATTGAGCAAGGTTAATAAATGTTAAACTGTTTCAAAAATATCTTTTTTCTCATAATTTTTTATTTTTTTATTTAATAAAACAAAATAAATTAAAAAAAAAAAAACTAAGTTACAAATAAAACACTTTAACCATGCCTTTATTACTAACAAACACATTTTAATGCCAACGAGCTATAGCTTACTGGTATTAGTGTCCCTTTTTCTTTAAGAAATAAATAAATAATTTTAAAATATCAGAACAAAGTAATGAATTTTTAAAACTAGATACTATAGAAACAAAGAGAGAGACTAGCTAATTTATAATTTACTGCAATAAACTTGGCTAGGTTTAGCACTTTGAAGTCATGATTAAGTGATCCCAATTCTCGACAACAGCTGGGGAATAATGACTGAAACTCGAGAATAGACAATTGAGTGACCATCTTGTACTTTTACCTTAAATCTTCACCAACTGATCCATGGTTTTCAACTTGATATGATACCCCAAATTATCAAACTAAACTGTCAATTACTTGTCCTCGATCGTGCACTACATTTGAACAGTGTAGTATTTCTTAATTTGTTGTGGTCTGGTCTTTTTGGGGAATACAATTTCGTCGTCTCCAATTCTAATTTTTTTTTCCTTAGTTTAAATACACTAGAGTCAGACTAACAACTTGCTAGCTTAAAAAATAAAATGAAAAACGCCTGGACTAATGTTAGTTCGTGGATTCCGTCCTGTCATTACCTTACATGAGATGAAGTACAGCAAATCTAATTTCATAAATTGAAAATATTAGCTAAAGTTTTGTATACTAATTAAAATTTATTATAAAAATTATGTATTCAATAACTAATGAATGAAATAAGATTAGAATTACAGCGACCACAGTTTCTGGTTAACTTAAGGAGAGGTTAAGTAATATATGAATTATGAAAGTTATCATTAATTGCGATTTAAACTACGTACTTCGAAAAATTACTGAGCAAAAAAAAAACTACGAAGTATGACTATGAGCTAGCGTCACTGTAATTGATGTTGAAAACTGAAAAGTAAGTTATAAATTATTCCTTTAGTTTCTAAAATTAAATTAATTACTTTTAAAAAATAATTTTTTAATTAGTATAATATAGATTATGTTTAATTTAATATTATTTTATTTTTAAAGAAATGGTTAACTTTCATAATATCTATTTATTTAAAAAATAAATGAAAAAAAAACTAAATTATTAGTTTTTGAAACATAAAAAACTATTTAATTGGCTTGTTAAAATTAAAACGATAAATTTATAATTTAACCCACGTTGAATGATACTAGCATCGGAAAATGCAACCTGTTTGGGTCAAAAGTTGCATCAGTAAAGATGTAGATTGCCTTTCATCGTACCACTACAGGGGAAGACCGAGGACCAAAACATTTCTACGGGATTTTTTTTCTGAAAAAAAGAAGAAAAGCTTACTAGCTTTGGGTTAGTAGTAATAATAACATCACTTTCTGACATGCTGATTTTTTTTCCTTCTTTTTTTTTTTTTACCATCTAGGTAATCTGATTTAGATTCCTTGCTGGAAAACAACACCCTTTCTTCGTCCGTTTTTAGATTAAGGTTAATGTAATAAAATAATTTTTTGATCTGTTTTTTATATCTATAATTGAATGAGTTTTATCTTTATATATTTATTAAAGTTCTAACTTATTATGTTGATAAGATTTTGACTGATGAGTTTGTTAGAAATCATGCTGTGATACCATAAAAAATTAAGAATTGTATTTTTTTATATTATATATTGTATTGTTGAACAACAAATGCTTTAATATATAGATTACAATAATCAGAATCTCACGAATTAAGCTAATCAAGATTCTTCATCAGGATCTGAGCTAATTGCTAATTAAAATTTTTACAATTAAATAAATCAATCTTTTAACTGGTCTATTCATTGGATATTGAATCTCATAAGCACTCCTATGAAATATATAAATACTAAAATCGGAGAGGCCTTAGTATTGAAAGCTAAAAAGTACCGGCAACCAACACAACCAATTGAACGATACTCTTGACAAATTTTTGCCAACCATCATCAAACGATATTGTTTAACCAGATATGGTTTTCAGCTTTTGTTAATCCTATTTCCCAACCATAGAGTCTTATTTTTCTTGGTGTTCTTTCCCCGTTTACAATTCTCTCTCTCTTTTTCATTTGATTCCCCTTGTTCTTGATGGCAGCAACATGTCTGCATTACTACTTCGGAAAGGCTTGTTACCAGTAGCTACGGATTGAATAAGCTGACGGGCCAGCTATAACATTTTATTTTTGTTTGGATGAGAAGTGTGGAAAGATGTGGTGTGATCAAGACTTGTCATCCTAATATTTTCCTTATAAGCCTTATAAGTTACGCTCAGATCTTCGCATGTTTCCGGTTTTTCGTCCTCAGATGATTCAAAGTTGAGTTCTATAGTCCTGTTCACGTTTTTTTTTTCCCCGATGTTCCAAATTTGAGATATCAATTTACGCTGGAGATGCTATGAAAATTTTATAATCAAATTGCATAAACTGTTCTCCATATTATTTGAATTTGATATCAGTTTGAGAAATTTTATGTAACAACTAAGAATAAAGAATTGAAAACTTACATGGACTCTGCTGTAAGCCCTTGATGCCTTGCTCACATGTCTCTCCAGACCTTAACCTGGGACCATATATCTCCTTTGACATGCACAACAATGCTGCTTCAAACAAACTTTAACACCTCACTCCAACAGTAACAATGGCAGCTAATGCTGAAAAGAGAAGAGGTCATATCTCATGTAAAAATACCAGCAAGTTGGGACTGAAATGTGACCCTCAAACAAAGTCAGAACAGAGAAATTAGCAAGCAGAGCACAAAATGAAGTCCCAAGGATCACAGCTTCCACTAAAAAGAGCCGTAACCAATACAGGATTCAGTTAATATATATTACAACCCTTAAACAAAGGATGAGTTACAAACAAGATAGAAGAAACACACAAAAAATCGATTTGGTGATAGGTTCTATTAATCAATGAACAGCCAACTTCTTCTTTTCCGTCCATCTCTTTCTGGTAGCCTCCAATGCCTCCTCTTTCATCCTAGTAAGTTCTACAAACCAATTCTGGTACTGTGCCTCTATTGCATCAAGTTCCAGCTTTAGATCAACATATCCATCTTTGTCAGCTAAATATAGAGAAGAACAGCTGCTTGTCAAACTCATAACATTGAAGCTTCCATCAGTATTGTAATCAGGGAATTCAGACGTTCCATTGTTTTTAGATGAAGCGCCTTGAACAAGTATCTTTGAACCAACTGATGACTGAGAATCTTGATCTTCCATGTCAGCTAAACTTGGAGAGGAATTGCAATCAAATTTAGAAATCTCATTGCTGAGGTTGTCACTGATATTACTTTCATCAGCTTGTATGCACTCCTCTCCTCTCGAAGGACTTGTTGTTAACCCAGAGAGATCATATTGCTCAGCCAGTGTTTCAACAGGAACACCAGTCAACATTGAATCCCAAGGGTATGCAAGCAAGCTTTCTCCATTTTCAAGCACTGGGGACTCAGTGCAAGGACTTATTGCAACATTTGAGGAATAATTAGACGATGGCTTCCAATCAGGGAGAAGTTTCATAATCAAGGAATCAATAAGCTCAGCTATGAAGGCAACATCATGATCGGCCAATTCTAGTTGTTCAACCATCTCACTTGCCACAGATATTGCAGTATCACTGTCAAGGTAGAAGATAAAATGAATATTCCTGACTCGACCTGCAAGTAGCAAAGATTGAGGTGAAATTATTGCATTTGGAAGCATGAGTAACAGAAGGTCTTTCGAAATTTATAATTCCTTACCACCCAAGTCAGAGATTCTTAAGGTCAATGACACGGAGTTATCATCATATTTCATCCCTTTTAACCCAAATTCGTTGTTCTTATGAGCTATCTGATATTCCAAAACTGGAGATTTTGGACTTTCATTGTTGCTTCCTGTACATGTACTTTCAGAAAGCTGCTTATCGTCGATATCCATGTCCATTGATCGAGGCCCAGACTTCAGTAAACTTATTGATCTAGAAAACTGGTTAGGTAACTGTAAGGGATCACGGATGGCTTCCAATATTGGATTCTCAAGCTGTAGAAATGGATGTTTGAGTAGCTCCTTGGCAGACAATCGCTCAGATGCTGGAAGAAGACATTTCTCAATAAACTCTTTAATGTGTGTATCACCCACTGAATTGAGGGAAGCAGGTTTAATACCCTGCAAATGTAGTCAAATGCACATAAATCAATCAAGCAGACAGTTATATAAAAGAAATTTGATAAGAAATGCCATATTGATGATAAATTGATAATTGCTGGTGATTAGAAAACTTACAGAGGTAACCTTCTTATAAATTTGAGCTGCATTTTTGCATTCACTGTATGGATAATCACAAGTAACCATTTCTAACATGCACATCCCAAAAGAATATATGTCGACAAGTTCATTATATTCCTCTTCATATAGTTCTGGAGCCATAAATTCAGGAGTCCCTGATGTAAACAAGGGAAATGCTCAGTAATTCCAACAAAGTTGATTTTATCTATGTATAGGAGTTGAAGCATCAAGTCAATACCAATAACGCTTTTTGCAGTAGGCTGCTGCATAACAATGGCCAATCCAAGGTCTCCAATTTTAACTTCTCCATGATTTCCATTAACAAATATATTGTCACATTTTAAATCCCTGTGAATGATAGGGGGGTTATGACCGTGGAGATAGGCTAAACCTTGGAGAATTTGCCTCGCCCAATTCTTTATTGCTTTCATATCAACATGTCTGTGCTTCTTCCGATATCTGATTACCAGAAGGCAAACAATCATTAAAAATCTAAATAACAGACAAATAATGCAAGGCAAAGAAAACCAGTAAAAAGATTATTCAAGAACATACTGTCTCAGATTCCCAGATGTGAAGAGTTCAGTAATCATGTTAATTGTTTTGTCCTCATCATCCACCCAAGAATTGGAGAACTTGATGATGTTTTCATGATTTAATGACCTTAGCAGATAAACTTCAGAATATAATTTTTCTAAATCTTCCGGTGACCGCAAGACATCATCAATCCTCACTTGGTTCCAGGCAACTTCTATTCCATCCAATTCATCAAATGCCCTGTAACTGCAAAAAGAGAACAGAGGGATCCCCATAGATGCATAAAAAAAAAAAAAAAATTCAGCACCGAAATTTTTTGGCGTTCTGAAAATATGTAACCTCCAAATAGACATTTTCTTAAACAAAAGAAAGGTAAAGTATAAGAATCATACACAGTCTTGAAAGCACCTTTGCCTAACACCTCATCAGACTGTAAAACAAAAAGGAAAACTGAAAATTAATGACCACAAATAGAGAAAAGAGCTTTCTCGGTAGGAACAATAAAATGCGCAAATTAAACCGAATCATCTCATGCAGAAACTGAAGGCGACAACTTTAAAAGCCAAATGCTAAAACTGTAATAAAATGGAATTACAAAAAATTAACAATGAGTTATAATATACCCGGACATATCTACCGGTAGCATCTTTTTCTACCAAATCAGCCTTAGCATCAGGAGGCTCCATCGCTGAATACGTTCCATTATTTGATGCCAAAACTAATCCAATACAACCATCAATAGCAGGTACCATTCTTGACAAACTAAAAAGCAACCAAGAAGAAGAAAAAAGAAGGAAAACGCACTGGTATTTCTCTATCTTGTGGGGTGGTAAAAAAACCTTTTCAACTATGTACTTAAAATTTCACTCCTAATCAAAGCAATTCCCCTTGATCAACACGCAAAAAACAATGATATTTTCCCTGTTGATGCTCGGAGAAGGCTTCAGACGCAATGCAGAAGGAATCGAATGCCGATAGTCGCAAAGGAAATCGGCATTCGACGACAAGAATTGACGCGTCTTTTTGTTGTTTATCTTGAGGCAATGAACTACAGAAATTCATAACCCCAAAAGCCACACCTCTACCATTTTTTTCCATTCTCTAAACTAATCCCAACACCGCCAAGTTCTCTAATAACATCCTTGTAAACCAAACCAAGAACAAAGAAAAAAACCCAAAAAAAGAAAAGAATGTAAAAAAAAGAACGTCTATTTTGAAAGGAAATAGAAGTGGGAAAAAGAAATGAGAGAAGAAATGGGTTAGGCTAGAAAGAGGAAAAAGAAGAGAAAATGGCGGAGATGTACGGAACCGGAAGAGAAGGCGTAAACAAACACTTGTATGGTTGATGATTTCAGTAAATTTAGTTAACTAACATCTGATGGTTCTTTCCTTGTCTTGGTTTTGGTTGAGAGAGTCACGTGAAGTTTGTTTTATCTTGCCGCTTCTATATATCTAATGCCAACTTAGCTTGCAACCGTGGAAATAATTCTTGTCTTTTTTTTTTTTTTTTTTTCCTAAACTCATACTACTCCTATATTTGGTTTTGTCTCTGTTTTAAGTGCATCTTTAAAAAGCAACCTAATCCTGTTATGTTTTTTTTGGTAGTTTTGGCTTTGATTAGTTGGAGTTGTAAGAAATAACAGGGTTTGTTAAAGATTAAATTGTAAATTACCTTTCAGAACTTTGACGAAAAGACAAATATTCTTTCAATTAAAAAAGAAAAAAATTAATTTTGCACTATAAATTAAGTTAATTGAAGAATTAAATCCGAATTAATGACTGGTTAAGGTTTTCGCCCGTCATCTACAAAACCAATCAAATGATCGCGCACTATCTTTCACTCTCTCTTTCAATAATTCTAATTCTCTAAAATCACATGCACAGTTTTAGTTTCTCCAAATATTTTATTTGTTGGAGTTCGAGTTTTTCTAGGTACTATTTGATAATTAGGAATAGAGTAATGAGAATGAGGATAGAAATTTTATTCCTACATTATAGTCTGTTTGATTAAAAAAAATAAAATGAAAATGAGAATGAAGAGTGGAAATAAAAATGAAAATTTATACACAACTTCATTCCCATATAAGATGTGGGAATAAAAACAAAGAATGAGAATAATTTTTTTCGAAATAATAATATATTTTATTTATTTATTGTCTATTAACTACTTTTACCACCACCACTACCGTCACTATCACAACTACTACTACTACCACCACCACCGTTATAACCATAATCACCAATATCACCTTTGTTATTTTTACAATCATTATAATTTAATAAAATTATTTTTTTAATCATTATTTTTATTTTTTATAAAAAATCAAATATTAAAAAATTTAAATTGTATTTCGATTTCTCATTAGTATTCCAAATATAGTATGAAAATATAAATACCATTTCGATTCCTTAATTTTCATTTCGACTCTTGCATTCTCATTTTCATCACTCTATTCTTGATTATCAAACAACATTTTACAATTTTTGGTGCAATCAATTGAAAAACCATGCAAGTTTATTTGGCTGGTTAAGCCTTTTAAAGATTTCTTTGCCTTTATCGCTCTTGTTTATCTTTTCTTTATTTGACCCATTTCTTGTTTTCTTTAAAATTACTCATTTCTCGGATTTTTTTTTTTCATTTTTCACGTTTGCAAGTTGAATGGAACTATAACCTCGCTTGGATTATTATCCCAGCTGCACTAATCTCATTCCACCTTCAAAACGCACTAATCAAGCATTATTGTTCATCAAAATGAATGGAACAACAACAAAGATCAAAGACAAATTTAGCCAATCTGGAAGTTTGATTAGCGAGGATTTTTCTGTTCAAATCTTATTGGATCCCATCTAATTCATTGATTTTGCAGGTTAGATTTAGCTTTTTTATTGCATGGATAATCATGTGAATTTCAATTTCATCGTCAAAATAAATAAGAAGATTAGGAGGAATCATGTTTGGATTTTATTTAATAGGCTGAATTTAGATTTTGATGGTTCAATCTTGTAGAGGAGGGTTTTTTAAAACTAATCGGACGATTGATCGATACGTCAATCAAAATACAAAGAATTGGTATTAAGGCGTGGGAACAAGTCTTGTGGCTGATACGTGAGTAATCAAAATTCAAATATATAGAAATTTAGATAGAGTTCGAGATAGAGAGTTTAAAGATTTGTTTTACTAGAGATAGAACTTTTAAAGTCAAAAGTTTTTTTTAGGATTCCCTCATAATGATGCAAGATTGATATTTATAGTAAATGAATATGGTATTTGACCGTTAGGATTATATTATGTAATCTAAGTTTGAACGATCATATTTGACTTTAAGGATTCAAGTTTTTGGGGTTAAACTACTTTAATTTGTTAGCAAACGCTAAATAAAGTAATAACCGAGCTTTTCTTTAATGGATCATGTTTCGAACTCATCAAACTAATCTTTCTAACACATTTAAAAAATAAGACATAGACACTAGTCCTATCGTAACATCTCGTGTCCATCATTAAGACTCATGACTTTGTGCTTGAATGAGGCTCGCCGTTAGTCTAATTTATTTATAGTGTAGTTTGATCTCATGTCAAAAATCAAGAAAAATAAAATAAATTAGCATATAATAACAAACTAGTTAAGTTATTTAATTAAGTTTTTAACGAACAAATTGAATATATATATTTAACCATCTGCATGGACAGCCTTACAAGCAAAGAGTATTTGTGCAAACAAGTACAAGGAGATAAAGAAAAAATAAAATATATACAAATAAAAATAAAGTTAGAAACATAATTAATTATAATTGTGGTAGACTTGCCACAAGCATTTTGATGTTTAACAGTAAACTTCGCGTTGAAGATGACTTTTGACGGGATTTTTTGTCACTACCAAATCTTTTATATACTCTCTATTGATTTTTTAAACCTAAAAAAAAAGCTCGTAAACGTATTATGGAAATTTTTGTTTCATTAACTACCCATATATATATATATATAAATAAACTTTTGCTACATAAATTTTTGAATTGAGAGAAAAATTAACAACTGATCTCTATTCCAAAATTTCTAAAAACAGCACCATAGTTTTAACTTTCATAATACGCTAACAAATATAAGATAAACTTTATACCTTATATATATATATATATATATATATATATATATATATATATTTTGGCGATGCTGATGCGCGGCAAACATCTATGCCAATCGAACAGCTGCTGGCGTGCAGCGTCCATACTGCCATTGTACATCTGCGAAGAGTGGCAACCATTTTATTTGTTGAATTAAAGGAGCACAAACCCCCCAAAAAAGAAAAATTTTCCATTGTTGGTTTAGCCATGGCCTGGTACCAGAAATATATTTAATGAATCGAATCCATATGTAAAGGCACGTCTGGAGACCGACAAGCTGACGCCACTACGCCAGTCTAAGGTTAATCACCATGGATACCCTTTTTTTACTTCATACATAGATATTATGTGTGTAATTGGCTGTTTGAATTAATTTATATTTATTTTTTAATTTATAATTGTGTGATCTACAGTTTTTCGGTAAAAAAAAACAAAAGAAAATCCATTTTTTGGATTTGGATTCTGTTTTTGATCCATTTGCTACTAATTTTTCAGTGGGCTAACCCGACTTGCAAAGGTTAACTCGCTGGGAGTTGAAAATGATGGTGAAGTTGTTTATTGTATCTTTGTAATATTGAAACATTTTATTTTAATCATTGTAGTAATTATTGCTATATATTTTTTGGAAATTAATTTTAATTTTTAAAAAATAAATTAAATGTTGAAATGATATTTAAGTATTTAAACTAACAGTAAATACATTAAGATCAACCAGAAAGAATGATTTATTTGTACAATTTCAATAAAAAAAGTTTATTGTTACCTAAAGAAGAAGAAAAAAAATACTATTTAAGTTGTAAATAGATTATTTATAAGTGATTAGAAACTAACAAGTATTTACACTCATTACATTCTAAATACTCTTTTATTTATAATGCCTCGAAATAACCACAGCAAACTCCTAGCAAAAACACTCCAAAATGAATTTTTTGAGGAAGAAATCCCAAGGGAAGAACGGACTGGGAAGGTAAAAACGTAAGTCACTGCATATAGAAAGAATTAAAAATGTACTTAAAATCCAAAAAATATTTTAAACTGAAACAAATAAGGAGCAATACTATGAGTTATCTTCCAGCGAACATTAAGCCTTGAAAGTCCATTAAAAGAAGACATTTATGTGTTGGAGAGAAGATTTTATTTTACATTTACTATGTTACTATATTATATCAAATATATAATATATTATTTTATTATATGATTATATCATCGTCATCTCATGCATTTATATATTCTCATAGAGACTATAATTACATTTATTTGCATTATTTTTATTGGGTTTAAACATGAATGGTAATAAATCTCGTATCCATTAAAAATACTTAACTTAAATTTTATATAATTTATATAACATTTTTTTTATTTAGTATCAATGTTTAAAAATACTTAACTTAAATTTTTTATTTTTTAACTTAAATTTTAAAAAATATGTATTATATTTACTTTTTTGATGCATATTGAATTTAAAATCTCTATCAATGTCACTTTTTGAAAGAAATACTATTTTATCACTTGATTTCATAATTTTATTAAGAAAAAAAACTTAATTGAATAGCAATAAGGGTTCAAATACTACATAATTCAACTCCTATATTACTTAAACTTTTGAACAACTTGAAGGATTTTAATGTGGGTTGATACACACACAATTTCATACATACATACATACATATATATTTATTGCTTTTACATATCACTGAAGAATATTTAATATGCTTTTTGAATCAAAACTTATGACGTGAGCCTTTAATTCGTGTTAGAAAACAATTTATAATAAATTTATTTAAAGAAATTGCAAATGAAAATTTTCAGTTAAATTGTTTTTTCATTGTTTTATTTTTTTATTTTTTTTATTTGCATATATGATAAAAAGGACCCAGTTTATGAATTAATTTTTTAATAGATGAAAAAATATTATAGGTTAAAATTTAAATACATTGATACATAAACAATTCGTGTGTTTAACTATACAATATATTTAAAATTGCTTCTGTTTTATTATTATATATTGATGATTGATTGACGATTAATTAATGAAGTTGATGAAATTGCATCTCTATACGGAAAGCTTTTCGAGATTTGGTAATTGATTTAAATAAAAAAAATATAAAAGTTTAACAAAAGGGGCTATATCATCTGGCTACATAGGTAGAAATCATATTCGGGTTTCGATTGGATTGGCCCAAAACCACTGTTGTGGTTCAGGTCTGTCAAAATCCGAATTCAGCCGCTTGATTTTGCAAATTAGTTTAAATAACAGATCATGGCGAAACGTAACAAGAACGGTGTCGTGGTGTAGTTGGTTATCACGTCAGTCTAACACACTGAAGGTCTCCGGTTCAAGTCCGGGCGACGCCATTTGCTGAAATTTTGTATAATTTTATAGATGCACCACGACGTCGTATTTTGAATTCTTATCCCTTTTTTTATTTTTTCCCCTTTTTTTCCAAACTTAAAATCCCGACAGTCAGCATTCTCTCCGTTAATAGTTCTTTTACCTTTCCCTCTCTTTCCCTCTGACTACCTACTCCTATTTTCTCCCTTTCAGACCAAAAAAAAAAAAAAAAAAAAAACATACATATCTCAAATTTTCTCTTCACTAATAAAAACAAATTTGAAACCAGTGAAAGAAATGGAATCAAGAAGAGAAAGAGCATTCTCTCGAAGCAAACAGAAGAAATTGGACATAACCTCGATTCTACGAAAATCATGGTACCATTTAAGGTTGTCAGTCAGGCATCCTTCCAGAGTCCCTACATGGGATGCTATTGTCCTAACTGCTTCTAGTCCTGAACAAGCCGAGTTATATGAGTGGCAGCTCAAGCGAGCCAAGCGTTTGGGCCGGATCGCTACCTCTACAATCACGTTAGCTGTGCCTGATCCCGATGGTAAGCGGATCGGCTCTGGTGCTGCCACTCTCAATGCCATTTTTGCCCTAGCCAGATGTTATCAGTCTATCGGCCTTCATCTTGGCGAACGGGTAAAATTACTATAATGCAACGCAATGCATATTTTGTTCCTTATTTATTGTTTAATGTGGATTTTTTATTTTTTTGAATAATTTGGGAAGTGTAATCAGGGATTCAGTTGAATTTTTTTCTGAAATAAATATATCTCATGATTTTTGTGTTAGCATAAGAGTGTACAATGTATCGCTATGAATGATAAAAGATGGATATATGAGCCAAAATGATCTGCTGTTGTCACTTTGTTTTTTTAAATGCTTCTAAGTCCAATTAGGATAAGCAGATGATTGCTATTATTTGAAATTCAAGAATCTTTAAGGATTAATTTTCTCAGAGATAATTTCTATTGGGATAGAATATTCTTTTAGTCCTCTTTATGGAGTTTTATTCTAAGGGGTTTTCAAGGAGTTTTTCTTTAGTTTATGTTCAAAGAGACTAGAAAGCACTAGTTTTTTCATTATATATTTTATCTAAAAGAAAAAACGAGGACAATGGAAGTAATTTAGACCATTTAAATTTTCTCTAATTGTGGTTCGCTTAAAACTAATACGATTGCCAACAAAACAAAAAAAAAGAGTAAGATCATCTTCTGTACTTTTTTTTGGTACGCATTTGATGAAGTGGGGATATTGTGGTATTCTTCACTGTGTGTGCATTTCTTGAGTTGAATATTTTTCATGTTGGTTGTTATAGTTGTCTTCGTGCTGCAGCATCACTTGATAATCAACACTGCTATTGGCAAACTATACTGCTAGGCTTGACAGGATATCTGTGATCAACAGGTGGAAACAGCAGAGAATGGCGGTTCTGGACCTGGTAGTATTGGAGATTTTGCTGAGGCAACGGTTAGCTTTATGGAAAAAAAGCATATACTATTGCTTCATGCTGGAGGTGACTCTAAAAGGGTCCCATGGGCAAATCCTATGGGGAAAGTTTTCCTACCACTTCCATTTTTGGCAGCAGATGACCCTGATGGACCAGTTCCACTGCTTTTTGATCATATTCTTGCAATTGCTTCTTGTGCAAGACAAGCATTTAAAAATGAAGGTTATTTGTCCTGCTTGTTACATTCTAGTGAAAAATTGCTTTATTTGAACCGTAGAACATTCACAATCAGTATTAACTTCCTTCTATGTAAAAACATTCACTTGTTATTTATATATTCATCTGCATCTGTTTATTTTTACCAAGTGAAAAGAAAAAGAAAAGCCTGTTATGGTAAAAGCTGAAGCTTTGGTAGCTTATATCGTTTTATGGTGGACAATATGTGAAAAATTTGTCTGCATGATTAAAATTATTCTCAGTGTAATTTGGTATGATTTGTGTGTGTTTGTGTTTATGTTGTGCTTCTCCTTTCCTCACTATTGGAACTATTGGCCATCATCTAATTCTGTGACTGCATATTATCTGTATTTATGTTTCCACATCAACATGATTCCCAATTCTATTTTGTTGTGAGTAGAACTGAGGATATTTCCCCCACCCTGCTGCCAGCGCATTGGATCAGCTTCTCGTAGCCTGAACACGTTTGATAAACTGATCTTCAAACCGTTGATGACATTGTAAAATTGAGTAATCACCAATTCATCAGACTGCATCGTGGTTCTTCTGATCACTTTTATGCTAGAATAGTGGTATGGGGATGGAATCATGTCATGCCCCAGTTTAAGTGTTTATTTCTGATTTCATAATCTTTGCAGGTGGAATATTGACCATGACTGGGGATGTCCTTCCATGTTTTGACGCCTCCAACTTGGTTATTCCAGAGGATGCATCCTGCATCATTACTGTACCTATCACCCTTGATGTTGCATCTCATCATGGTGTTATTGTGGCATCTAAAACTGGTATTTTAACTGAAAGTTATACAGTCAGTCTAGTTGACAATCTCCTACAGAAACCCAGTATAGAGGAACTTGTTGAGAATGAAGCCATTTTGGATGATGGTAGAACATTGCTGGACACTGGAATAATAGCAGCTCGAGGCAAAGCATGGGCAGAGCTTGCCATGCTTGCATGCTGCTGTGAACCAATGATTGAAGAGCTTTTGAAGAGCAGAAAAGAGGTGAGATACCCATTTTTTCAGTTGTTTCATCGAAAGAAAAAAGGATAGAAACTGTTACATGCATTCCTGTAGGTTATTTGATGCCTATCTCTATTTCTTTGTCAAATTGTAACTAATTTCACATTCCTTAGGTTTTCCATTCTAGATCTTCATCTCCATGAAGTTTTGTAATTCAATTGTTTGTTATTCCTGTCTGATTGTCTCTGGGATATCCAAGCACTCTCACTTATGGATGTGCTGCCAAGCTTTTTGTGCTATAATTTAGAACTTGCTTTAAACCCTGCTATCTTATTTTGACAATTGTGCAGCTTTTAAAGCACTTTAACACTATATTCTGCTTCCATTTTGCCTCCTTTTTTGGTCAAACCCTCTTCAATTTCCTATACTTATGGGTGATTCTTCCACTGCAACAAGAGCCTTAGCATGGGTCACCTTGTGGTCGTCCTTTTGCATCAATCCCTTTTTTTGTTTTTAGTTTGCTTCTGCTGCTTTGCTTCATCCATGTTAGACTTGTATAGTCTCTAGTCTTTAATTCTGAGACTAATTGATTTATGACTCAGTTTAAGCTGTAACAATAATGACAATGTTGTACCTGTAGATTTTTCAAAGTTCAAGAAGTGTTGACATATAAATATTGAAATTGCCTTACATTTCTGGAATGCTATGCAGATGAGTTTGTATGAAGATCTAGTAGCAGCTTGGGTACCTGCAAAACATGACTGGCTCAGAGCACGCCCTCTAGGCGAGGAACTGGTCAGGAGTTTGGGAAGGCAAAAAATGTTTAGTTACTGTGCATGTAAGTTGAAAGCATCTGTATTAATCTTCGTATTTTATCTCATTGCTGTTATCATGTGCCTTATGTTCATTGCAGATGACTTGTTGTTCTTACACTTTGGAACCTCAAGTGAAGTATTGGATCACTTAAGTGCGGCTGGCTCAGAGCTTGTAGGACGAAGACATTTGTGTTCCATTCCAGCTACAACTTCATCTGATATTGCAGCATCTGCTGTAGTCCTTTCTAGCAAAATTGAACCTGGTGTTTCTGTTGGTGAAGATTCTCTTATATATGATTCATACATTTCTAGTGGAATACAAATTGGTTCTCTATCTGTGGTTGTTGGTATTAATGTCCCAATAGATATTAATGAGATGGTAGATGATTCCTTTAGGTTCATGCTTCCAGATCGTCATTGTCTTTGGGAGGTTCCATTGGTGGGATGCACGGAAAGAGTTATTGTGTATTGTGGCCTTCATGATAACCCAAAAAGTTCTCTTTCTAAGGATGGGACCTTTTGTGGGAAACCCTGGAAGAAAGTCTTGCTTGATTTAGGTATTCAAGAGAGTGATCTATGGAGCTCAGTAGGTGCTCAAGAGAATTGCTTATGGAATGCAAAAGTATTCCCTGTTCTTTCTTACTTTGAGATGCTTCATCTGGCTTCATGGTTGATGGGTTTGAGTGACCAAAATTCAAGAACCTTGCTTTCCTTATGGAAAAGTTCACAACGTGTCAGTTTGGAGGAATTGCATAGATCAATTGACTTTCCAAAAATGTGCACAGGCTCGAGTAATCATCAAGCAGATCTTGCTGCTGGAATTGCTAAAGCTTGCATTAACTATGGGATGCTTGGACGGAATTTATCTCAGCTATGCCAAGAAATATTACAGAAGGAAGCTTCGGGAGTCAAAATATGTGAGGACTTCCTAGAACTTTGTCCTAAACTGGAGGAGCAGAATTCTAAAATTCTTCCCAAAAGCAGGGCGTACCAGGTGCAAGTTGATCTTCTTCGAGCATGTGGAGATGAAACAACTGCATGCCATTTAGAACATAAAGTTCGGACTGCAGTTGCTGATGAGACTGCTTCAGCCGTGAGATATGGATTCAGAGGTAGGGTTAAAAAAAAAAAATTCATGTCTTGAACAAAGAAAACTAGTGATCTCTAAATAAACTTGGAAAAAAAAAAAAAACTGTCAAACTTCTGCTGTAGGTCCATACGATTTTACTATCTTTAAACTCTTATGTCCTTTTTATTTCCATGGATACACATGGTTTCTTTTGTGAATTCTCCATTGGAGTTCATATAGTTTCCTCTTTGATTTTCTTAATGCTCATGGTTCTTGAACTCCTTTTTCTTTTAATTTCTAGAATGTATCTTGGAGTCCCCTAGTAGCACACCTACTTCAGCAGACCAGAACAATCATTTTGATGGCTATGTGGACCAACCTTTCTGCCCCAGAATGGTAAAGGTTGAGTTACCAGTTCGTGTAGATTTTGTTGGGGGATGGAGTGATACCCCTCCATGGAGCTTAGAGCGTGCTGGTTGTGTTTTGAATATGGCAATAAGTTTGGAAGGTTGTCTTCCAATTGGCACCATTATAGAGACAACAGAAAAGACAGGAGTTTTGATTGATGATGATGCTGGAAACCAGTTATATGTTGAGAATCTTGCCTCTATTGCTCCTCCATTTGATGGCAATGATCCATTCCGGCTCGTCAAATCTGCATTGCTGGTGACGGGTATAGTACATGAAAACAGTTGTGTATCCATGGGCTTGCAAATTAAGACATGGGCTAATGTACCCCGTGGTAGTGGGTTGGGAACTTCTAGCATCCTAGCTGCTGCTGTTGTGAAAGGACTTCTTCAGATAACAGATGGAGATGAAAGTAATGAAAATGTTGCTAGACTTGTTTTGGTATTGGAGCAACTCATGGGGACAGGAGGCGGCTGGCAGGATCAAATTGGAGGTCTGTACCCTGCGATTAAATTTACTACAAGTTTCCCTGGAGTACCGTTGCGGCTCCAAGTCGTTCCCCTGTTGGCTTCTCTCCAGTTGATTTTGGAGTTGCAGCAGAGATTGCTTGTAGTATTTACTGGTCAAGTAAGTCTCCATTCTTCTCCCGGTGAGGACATGCTTTGTGAGTATATTTCATAACAAATAATATAACCACTCCAACTTTTTATTAATGGGTTAAGAAGGTTGCACAATATGATGTAGATATAATAAGTTCGATGATCCATGGAGTGGTTAACCTATCTGGTTCAGTTTGTTTGTACACTCTCAGATGTTTACTCATTTAATTTGGGCAGCTTGTCTCTTCAATAGTAACTTTCTTAGTCTAATAATCAAATGTAAGATGTAGTTTTATGGACTTAAATATTCCTCTTCAAAACACATATGACATGCAAATGTAAATCTAAAACTGATATATGCTAGGTGGTCATGAATATGTAAGATTCAAATCCTTCTTGTTGCTCATATCATTTAATTGAGAGATGGTTTTTTGAGCCAACTGCTTTCTTCCCCCAGTGCACAGCACTCTGATGTTTCTTGGAATTTAGGTGCTGTGTATTTTGTGGCGATTTGCACATCTGAGGGTTTTTTTGCTTGACTGGAAACATTTGAGTCACATGATTGTTATCTGGAATGCAAACCTCTACCTACTGCAATCATTGCCCTCCATTACATTTGGCCATTATCATGCAGGTTCGACTTGCACATCAAGTCCTACAGAAGGTGGTAACTAGATACCTTCAGCGGGATAACCTTCTTGTATCCAGCATTAAGCGCCTCACTGAGCTGGCCAAAATTGGTAGGGAAGCCTTGATGAACTGTGAGATAGATGAACTAGGGGAGATAATGCTGGAGGCTTGGAGGTTGCATCAAGAACTTGACCCTTGCTGCAGCAACGAATTTGTGGACCAACTTTTTGCATTTGCTGACCCCTACTGCTGTGGCTACAAGCTTGTCGGTGCTGGTGGCGGGGGTTTTGCTTTGTTACTGGCCAAGAATGCCGAATCTGGAAATGAATTAAAGCATAAACTAGAAGATTCCAATTTGAATGTGAAAATCTACAATTGGAACATCCATTTAGATAATTAGATAAAAAGCAGATAATCAGAAATATAGTTTTTATGTAATTTTTACCACATAGCCTTGCTATTCTTTGTGTCATCGGGCTCATGAGCTGTTTGATACTATTAGACTATGGTTGTATCATTGTTGTACACATAAACAAACGGTACAAATAGAACAAAATATTGATATTTATTATAAAATATCGGATTACACACACGTTTTTATGGTTTATTGTTAAAATTTTAAAAATTATAGATTAATTAATGGATTACCACTATTTACATCTGTCTTTAAATACTTTATTTATAAAAAAAGCAAGTCCTCTCTGGTTTTTCTAAGCATCACAGGCCAGTTTTGCGCATAGAGGCTAAGTAAGTATTTTCCTCATCAAATTTATGCATTAACAACAAATTATTGACCAACCTATGAAAGTAGCTTGATTATTATGGCTGGCATTTTGGTCAGTTTAAGTCAGATTACGGCACATCATTACGTGTGCCAAACTGCAAAAGTATGAAATAATTATGTGTGTCATTCTGCAAAAGTATGAAGAGGATGGCTTGTCAACTCGGCAAAGAATCCAAAGTGCTTCGGACTCTTATTTGTTTTCCCTCAGAGAAACGGTCCAATTAAGCCTACCGATACTACAACATCTAGACAAGGAATAATACATTTGATCAACATCAGACTGTTTATAATTTTGTCTGTCTATCTCACATTATTCCATTTTTACCCTTGAATAAAAAAGTCAATAGACTTAAGACCCAAAAAAATAAAAATAAAAAGTCAAGAAGAAAAATAAAAAGTGGTGAAGTCTAAACAAAAAGAATCTATCATTAAAGATCACCATCATTATAGAGACCTTTTAAATATTTTTATTGGGTTTTCGGTGAATGTAGTTGTACTGACTCCAACGTCTTCCAATTATATTGTGCCTCAACCTTAGCTAATTCTTTTTTTTTTGTTTTTTTGTAGCTTTGGACCAATTGTTTCTGCTGATTTGAGTAAAATTTTATTATTGGGGTAAAAGAGAGTCAAGGAGAGGAAGACAGAGAGAGATGGGTTTCCTTACCCACAGAGTGGAGAGAAGTGAAATCAAACCAGGAGATCATATCTACTCTTATAGAGCTGTTTTCACTTACTCTCATCATGGTATCTCATGTCTCTTTTTTTGCATCTTCCTTAATTTTTCAATGTGGGTTTTTCTTGTGTAATTCTCATTCTAAAGTTTGTTTCTTTTTTGCTATTTGTGAAGATTTTTTGATCAATTTGATTTGAGAATGTGGCTTTTTTTCCTACTTGTTTATTTAATTCACATTATTCCTTGTGTTAATATGGCTTGTCTGATAAGTTCTTTTCTTTTCTTTTTTTTATTTGTATATTTTTTTCTCACTTCTGGGCTTTGGATGTTAATTATGTTGGACTGGGTTCCCTAGCGATGTCTGAAAGTTCCCATATGATTTGCATTTGGATGTTTATAATAGATTAAATGATTCTTTGAGAGTTTTGAGGTGGGTGAAACTTGAAATTTCTTTTCTTGCAAGGTTGTGCCTGTGGATTCCTTCATCGTGTTTATCAGTTTTGGAATATGTAACTTAAAAACTGTAACAGTTTCTCTGGATGAAGAGTGAAACCACGACAGCGTTTTCTTCACATTTTGTTGTCATTTATCTTTCATGTCATCTTTGTTTACTAGGATTTAGATTCCTTAGTGGTTGGTTAATTAATTTCACAGTTGCGTTCTGCTTTATAGCTGGAGAATTAGGGAAGATAGTTAAAGGGATTACTGCATAGATTAACTTGGTATAATTTTAGAGCGTTGATTGATGAAAGTAGTACCATCCTCATGAAGATGGGTGATGAGCAGTAGTTTTGCATAAAATGGACCATATCTTTGCTTTTGATCATAAGAAAGTGTTCAACTGTGCACGTCATAGTGTTTCTTAACCCTTAGCCAGCGCTGAATCTTGGTCTGCATCCCAATGGCTTTGATTGGTCTGCGTCGCCTTAAGGAATTGGAATCTGAATGGCTACCATCATGATTAAACTGTGTTTTTAGATTTTCTTATAATGCCTAATGTCCTTGTCAAGATAATCCTTGTGGACAATTTAGGGAAGCTACTTGTACACATTTAGACTACTTGTTCTTTGATATGAGTCAATTGGCCTTTCAAGGTGTCTAGGGCTAGAAGGCTAGTGATGTGAATAAGTTCAGTGGGGGTTGGTTGTCTCAGCAACAATTGTGTCATATAGCACCATTTGCTTTTTATCAATTACATCCCTATATTAGTGTTGTTGGAAGTTGCTTGTCATAGGCAGTTTAGATCTATGGGCTATGTGTCTAGCTCTTCTTTAGCTCATAATGAGGAAATTATGTTAACCCATGCCACTCTTGTCTGGTATTATTGAGCAACTTTGGTCTTGAATCAAGGTAGTTGTAATTTTTTCCGAACTGTTCAAAACCTTATCGTGCTGTAGTGTTTCCACTTACTGTATACTTTTTCACCAACCAACATGTTCAAGTCTATTAGTTATGAGCTTTTCTCTAACTTGGGTTTTAGCTCTTAACATTGTTTTGTGCTTTTCTCTAACTTGGGTGCTAGCGCTAAATATTATTATGTGCTTACTTGGGCTTCTTTCAATGCTGTTGTTTGGTAGGTATAGAACTCCATGTGAGGTTTGGGGTAAATTCAAGCATTTATTGACCTGGAATTGCATTTCCTTACGCTGAATGTTATTTAATACATAAATGCAAAAATACCGTAAATAGCATTTACTGCCTAAAAAGCACGCACGAGTTCACCATTTGTTTTATTATAACTGTGGTCGTTATTTTTAGCTTCTTTTGCAAATGTCGCATTTGTTCTGTTAATTTTGAAATGGCTAATGCTAATCTTATTGGATAATAGCATTGCATTCTGTGGTTAGACATATAGCAGAAGCTATATTTTTTTATTTGATCGTGCAGGTATCTTTGTTGGGGGAAGCAAGGTGGTCCATTTTACTCCTAGGGAGAATGCAAATTCAAGCTCCGATACATCTTCTGACTTCTATGATTCAATGTCTAGCATTCCATCATCTTGTGAAACCTTTCCTGACTGTGGATTCAGACAACCTGATAGTGGCGTAGTCCTTTCATGTCTGGACTGCTTCCTCAAAAAGGATCCCTTTACTGCTTTGAGTATGGGGTGCCCCATGCCGTTTTTCTTGCAAAAGTGCGTGGAGGCACATGCACCACTGCAGCATCTGACCCACCAGAAACTGTAGTCCACAGAGCAATGTATCTTCTTCAAAATGGATTTGGAAATTATGACGTGTTTCACAACAACTGTGAGGATTTTGCAATGTACTGCAAGACAGGTCTTCTGATAATGGACAGGCTGGGGGTTGGAAGAAGTGGTCAAGCTTCTTCGGTAATTGGTGCTCCATTGGCTGCAATTCTTTCATCCCCTTTAAAGTTGTTAATGCCGAGTCCTGTTGGTGTGGCTACGGTAACAGCTGGAATGTACTGCATGAGCAGATATGCTACTGATATAGGTATTCGGAGTGATGTAATCAAGGTGGCTGTGGAAGACTTAGCTGTGAACCTGGGCTGGGCTGGTCCTCTGGAGGAAGTACCACCCGAAGACAATGAGGCCTCTGGTGCACTGATTGCCAGGTGAGGTGAATTTCATCTCAATGCATGTCAAGATGCGTAAATATGTCATGGGTGGTCTCCATTAATAAGAATTCATTGATGTTAGTGCACTTACATGGGAGTCCATTGTTTGCTTCTTTCTTTGTAAGTTAGTTGCTGTTGGTTGTGTACCAAATTAAGTTAACCCTCAGGAGGCCTGGACTGGTCTGTTATAACTATTTACTTTTGAAATTTAATCTTTGAACTTTAGTGGTTTGTCAAAGCCTTGGTAGCATGTTCCTTCACTTTCAAACATCAGGTGCAACAGATGCAGTTCCTACTGGATTTTCTTGAATAGGCAAGATCATAGTCCAATACATGGCATGGAAAATTTTATTTAGCACAACATCCAAACCATGAAACTGGTTTAATTATAAACTTACTTCACCATACGAGTATCTCATGTAGAAAATGTCGTGCCCTTCTTTTTTCTCGTTATTAACATCATTTTATGGTGAATTGTAATGGAAAAGCATTTTCCTTGTCTCAGGGCAGCTTTTATCACATTACTTGTTAAACCGTGGCCAGGATCATTGGGTAATTTTCTCATTGTGTTTTGGTCTTTATTCATTTGAATACCATCTTGCTTTCAAGTTCCAACTAATCTGACATTTTTTTATTGAACTCCTACCTTCCCATGCATTCTCTGTCTTGCTTGCTTAGTGTGCTTCGTCATTAGTTTCTTTCAAATTGAGACCTACTTAATGATTCACATGACGTGTACTGCAAGAGAAAGTTCTAGAATTCGAAGACATTATCATATATATATATATGATAACATAGTATATTTGAATATCCATGAAAGATGTGATGATGCAATGTGCATAATAAAAGATTTCCATAGTGGAATGCATAAATTAAGTTGGTGGTGCGGTTGGTGTCGGGCAATAGCCCAAAGCAAGCAATGAAATGAGTTTATCAAAACAAACTGTGACTTAATTAACTTGGCATCAGGAGATGTGTCCATAAATGTCAAACACGATTACACCCTGGGAGAGTACGGACAGAAGTTACTTTTTACGCATGACAAGGTTAAATATGGAGGTTTCTTTAAGCAAAGCTTAAAAAATTATGGCGATTACAGTCTGCTTTCCTGTACAGTAATGTGTACTTCATAGTTTTCCACCAGTAAAAACAGGAGTTTATGGATAGCGTAATCAGGATTATCCCAGACCTTTGGTGCCTTCTTCATTTGTCTCATCTACTTTGTTACTGGGTTGGCTTTGGTTAGCCTTTTTGCTGGCAGGAGGCTTGAAGTCTGCTAGCCTTGCAAGCTCATTAACTTCTTCAGCAATTTCTTCGATTCTTGCTGCTGTTTCTGTTAGCATGGATACTAATGTTGCTAGTGGAAGAATCTCCATGACAGATGGTGTGGCTGTTTTTCTGATGGACTCTGTTTTTGCATCTCCACCCGATGTTGAGGATGGCATAGCAAAAGGGTGGCTAGGAAGAGATTCCAAGGCATTTTGAAGTTCTTGTACTGCATATTGCATCTCTCCAATTGAGAAGTCTATTTTTGATGATTTTCTCATGGTCTTAACTGCAATAGCCAATTCTTTCAAGATACGTGAAGCATGGGAGCTCAATGTGATGCAGACATCACTGAGATGCCTCTTTAGATGCTCAGGTGCCTGTTGTCATACGTTAATGTTTCCACGGTTAACAGTCTGGAGCAAATACTACAGAAGAGTATTCATAAAAAAAAAAAAGACTACAAAGGAGTGGGGACACAAGAATACCTAAGAGTTCTATGCACAGAAGTGAGTTCCATGTTCAGAGTTTTACCTGGATTTCTGAGTTTATGCAACCATTGAGAGTTTCAATGCAATAAGCGCAGCTTCGCAATGAAGCCCCAACCTTTAAGTACTGCTTCCATGGATGCCGGAAGTTGAAACGACCATGTGCGGGTTCCCATCTTGCAAAGCCAGCCTATTACATTTTAAACGGGAAATTTATAATCCTCTGCAAGAAGTTCTCTTAAAATCTAATGCTAAAATGATTTGGACTTGTTCAGTAGCCTACCATAGAATCTTCAGCTGCCTTAGAATTAAGAACGGATTTATAGCCTTCCATTTTCTTACAAGAATCTCCAGCACTGCTGTCTGTGAAGTACCCAGCGACACATCCTGCAATTCATTTTGACAGTTATTTGCACCTCAAATCAGTTATATTTTCATTCTGTTGAAATTGATGTCTGATGATTTAAGTTCTTATGTTTGGCTGTGTGCACATACCATCCAAGGCATCAGCAAGCTTTTCCAGGTTACGATGAATCAAATTGTGAAGCTCTTCGCCAGCCCAGATGGGATAGAATAGCATGCTTATGAGAATGCAAAGGGAGGCCCCAATGGCAATTGTGGATAACCTTTGGTGTGCAATATCAATCAAGTCATCCACGCGATAACCAGAAACTGACACTAAGCTAAAGGTCAGGATGAAGATCACAACACCATAATCAAATCGGGCTTTAACAGATGGCACAAACCGCGAAAAGGTTGCTGCTGAAGCTGTAATTTAGAGAAGGGTGTGTGAGTGGAAGGAAGTCATTTAAAAGAACAAGACCGAAACCACAAACAAAACAGAAGGAAAAACATCAAGGGGATCAGGAAATCTGTTTTGGGAAGAGGTTGAAACTCACCAAGAACGAAAACTGATATTCCAAGAATTATGGGCTCTAGTTGATGTCCTGAGTGACTTGCAACCCAGTGAACACCAACACCAAGTGATCCAGCAAGGAAAGTACCTATTGCTCTGTTGATACACTTATACAGTGTTGCACCTGCAATACAATGAGCAACTTAAAGAATAGATTTCATGGGACGTTGGAAGACAGACAGTTTGCTTAAGAATAGATGTAATACTTAAAAGCAGAAAAAAACAAGTAAATGTCACATATATTGTTGGGGGGTTTTTTTTTTGGAGTACTAACCCGGAGTGTTTTCAAAAACTACCACAACTGTCATAATTGCCCACATAGCATTCCCTCCCACACCTTCATACAGAGGCCTCATATAGTAGAAGAGTGACACAATAGAAAGTGCGACTCCTACTTTGAGACAATGGATAACCTTTTTAGGCTCAGCCACTGCTATGTTCCTAGCCTTCTCCAGAAACTTCCAAATTTTCAATATGAATTCTCCTAGCAGACCCCTTAACCCCATCCAGATTCTGTAGACTAAACCGGATTCAGGCTGCAATGTCTCTGATGTCCCATCAGGTACATTTATCCTCCATTCAAGTTTGTTTGGAACTTCATTTCCCATCACCATTTAAAGAACTCACAAAAATGGAAAACGATCAGGTTGGTAGGACAAATATGATATAGGGCTGTTCTTTTGAATCTATTTTAGCTATATCATTGCCTTCTAGCAACAAGGATATATAGCAAGAGAAACTTCAATAACATCAACAGGGAAGTTCTAAGCTTTTATCGGCTTATTTTCTATGTAACTGACCTCGGTTGTTGTTAAGACTTATGATTAGTTAACACTAGTAAAGCATTTATATACATGTCAGCCTCTGCTCCGCACCTAGGTAGGTCTATTAAAGTAAAATTAGACAAAGGTCTGTTAGATGGTCGTACAAGAAACTTTCTGAGGTTTTTGGTAGGTAAATTAAAACTAGGGTACGTTTGACACATTAGTGGCCAAAGATATGCAATTCTTTATGGGCCAATGCTTTTATAAGAAGAGCACGAAGAGCACATACACGAGAGATAACATGACATGGCCTTAAAAAATTATATCAGATTTTGCTATTGAATGTCATTGCATTGTGGCTATAGTTAATATATTGTAGTGATATCCTCGTGCTCTTATCGTTTTAGACAAGTGCGTGTTTTATTAAGCACAGAGGTCCTCTTATGGCCCTGGAAATGTCGTCTTCGAGATAACAAAGTCGGAAACAACATAGATGCATTAAAATGCATTTAAAATTTTTGCTTCTTTTTTAATTTTTTATCTGAAAATTAGCATTTTACCAAAGGATGCTTAGCAAGAAATTGTTATACTTCACTCTAGAGTTCTAGGATCAATTAAAATTGAAGGATTCATATACTTTAGGGAAGCTTGTGGTAGGCCAAAACATGATCAATTAAGATACAATTTAAGGTAGATATTCATACCATAACCGAAAGACAAAATGAATGTTAAACGCGACGGAAGTTTAGCTTCTGCACGATGTCCTGTTTTTGCATATTAATTAATGTCTTTCCTTGATCCACTGAACTGATCGGTATGTTTCCGTTGCTTTCATGTAGAGCACTCTTCAATTATTTTTGGACAAATTAGAGCTCTCATGGATCATATATATGATCTTCTTTTCTATTTTAACTGGGTATGTATGATCTTATCCTTGTAGTTTTCGTGTTCGTCCGTCATTTTGAAACCTAAATCCTAGGTAATCATATTTTGCACTTGTCAATTCCTGATTCCGAATAATCATCCAGCATCCCTAACTAATTTTGCAATATACTCAATTGATGAGGATGATCTTTTTGTGCCTTCTAATCCTTGTTGGTTTCTCTATTTGTTGTATTATTTCTTGCTAGGTTCTTTTTGTTTATTGGATGCAAACTCTTTGCAGCCTTTTTATTTGTTTCTGCTTCTCGCTTTGAAGAGTTTATTTATCTCCCTTGCTTTTTTTCTTGTCAAGAATCTATTGATTAAAAAAAAACAGCAATCTATACAGTTTGCGAACATATATATGCATATGTTGATGTAGCATGCAATTTTTTTTTTTTTTTTTAATTCACAATGTTTGCTAGTTTTGAAGCCACTTAATTATCACAGAAGCCGAAAGCCAAATCAATGACAAACTGTAATGTGACATCCCGGCCATTGCTTGAAGGAAAGACACAGGGAGAGAAAGGAAGATACATACCTAATTTTAGGTTCAATCAAATGGAATCAATTAATAAGTATGTATTTCTCTGTTTAGTGCGCTTACACTAAATGTGAATGACATTTCATTTCTAATAATCTACGAATACAAAATAAGTTCGAAGATGACTTTTAATTAATGCTATCATCCCATAGTCACTGTCATATCTTTATTTTCTAGTTAATGCTTTTACCCATTTCACATCATTCAACAAAAGATTTAGGTCAAGATTTTATGTGTTCCAAACTTTTAATTAATTAATTTTTTCCATCTACTGGATTCTTAACGAATTTAATCGACGCATAAAAGCATCAATGTCGTCCATGAATGAATTTTTTTTCACAGAACAAAGCCATTCGAAATGTCACATCAACTATCACATATAGGCTAGCTTGCTTACAACATTAGAACTCTCTCCCTTTCTCTGCACAGACAGACACATTAGTGCATGACACATCGCAAATCTACGTATTAACTATTGCTTGCTTCCAACCTATGGATTTTGAAGGTCTCAAGTGCATGCAACATATCCCAATCGCAGGGTCAATAAGTCAATACATAACATGATCATGAGTACAAGAGTACACATTCAAAATCAACTTCTGCTACTTAAATCGGGGCGGGTTTAATAATGTTTTTCTGAGTATGCATGGGATTGTTAACAAAGGGCCAAAAGATGTGGAAAAATTGAAAAAGCTACGACATGCAACTTTTGATGTGATCAGCTAGAGATTAGGGATCGGTAATGAAGTTGTCGTCAAGGCAGATGTAATATGGCTTGGTATATTGATCTTCTTTCGTTTAATGGATCCAACCATTTGGGTGGCATTGACTGTAATTGGACTGAATTAACATCATATTATTTGATAAGCATCAGAAGTAAATCTTAATTAATCCATCACTCAAGTAATCTTTCAGGACGGGCAAGAGCAATGGGTGATAAGTTAAGTAGAGTTCGTGTTCTTGTTATGTCCATTTGTAGTTTGCCATGTTGCTATTAGGTTAGTGATGAGGCCTTAAAATCCTCACTGCTGAGTCAGCTTCTGTCCTCACTGAATCAGAAGCAATCTAACTTTCAAAACAAGGAAATCTCATGAACAGATATAGGACCTCTGTTGGTTAAGTTAGCAGTGACAGAGTGGAGATATGGTAGCTGTAAGTGAAAGGTTTTCAAGATGAGAGTGGAGGAGAAGGTGATGGTGGAGAAACATAATATCATACCTTGGGACTCACTCAAGGCTGTATTTATAGTCTTAAGCTCAATCGTCTTCGGCGCGAAACAGGATGGTCTTAGGCCCAACAACTTGCCTGATGATGGGCCTTTACCAATTGCTTTGTAAGGGATGTTGATTTCATTCTATGGTGATTCGTATCTCTATTATAGTTGGAAATAGCAGATACCCCGTGAGTTGTCCTAACATGAGCTATAAAACATTTTTATATATTCATTCATATAAAATATAAATTTAAAAAAAATTATTTAAAAAAAATTTACGTAAAAAAATTTAAAAAATAAAATGATCAAAACATATATTTCGTGTATTGCTACAAGATTAGTTAAACAAAAAGTTTGTAAAATTGAGTAGTATAATGTTGTTAATTAGATGTAGTTTGATATAAAAATATATTTTATTATGAATATGTATAATAACTAGTAATTAAAATCATGATGTAGTAGTTTTTTTTTTTAATTTTGGATGATTAAATTTTACCATATGTAGTTTGTTAATGAGATAAAGAGAGATCATCTAAAACAAAAGGAAAAAAAAAGTTTTGTCAAATTGAAATGATATTGAAATATTTCAAAACTTATTTGGTAAAAAATAAAATAAAAATTACACATGATAAAACTTAACTGATCAAAACAAAGTAAAAATCGTAAAATAAGTATAAAAAAACTTTCACTAAAAGCCTTAAAAAAAAGACTTATGAATAATAAGACTAAAAAAAAAACCATTATGCATAAGGCATGAATAAAACTTTAATGGAAAAAAAAATCACAAAATTGGAGCTAAAATAGAAAGAAAATTTTTACTAAAACCCAAAAAAGACTTAAAATATTGAAACTCGTATTTAATTTTATTATAAAAAGAGAAAAAATCAAACATAATAAAACTTTAATGATCAAAATAAAGATGAAACCTAATAAAAAGTTTCACTAAAAGTGAAAAAAAGTTCCTTATTTCATTGGGGTGATCTATAAATGGAATCAGTGATTTTTAAAGTTTGTTTTGGGTAATTTTACTGCTACAACAACTCCAACAATATTACAAATATCCAAATTAAGAACATGTGGAAGACAATAAGAGATGACATGGTTAACTGTTAGCCACATCATACATAACTCATTTTCATAACTAAGCTTTTTTCCTGACTTTATAGAAAAAAAATTAGAAAACCCAATCACTACTGCGTGTACAACTGGTTAAAAGAATGTTAAAGAAAGAGAATAAAAAAGGATTAAAACGAGAGAAAGATAAGAAACAAGGATGAAAAAAAAAATAACTAAACACTACAAAAAAGGCTTGGCTACAGTAAAACATTATCCGGTAGAACAAAATCATTTAAATTTTTTTATTTAATTCATAAAATTTCTACTTTAAAAAGGTGAAAACATAATAAAAAGTTTCACTAAAAATAAAACAAAGTTCCTTATTTCATTAGCGTGATCCATAAACGAAATTAGTGATTTCTAAAGTTTGATTTTGGTAATTTTACTGCTATAACAGCTCCAACAACATTACAAATGTCAAAATGAAGAATATGTGGAAGACAATAAGAGATGACGTGGTTAATTGGTAGCCACATCATACATAATCCATTTTCATAAATAAGCTTTTTTCCTTCACTTCATAGAAAAAAAAATTAGAAAACCCAATCACTGCCACAAGTACAACTGGTTAGAAGAATGTTAAAGAAAGAAAATTAAAAAAGGATTAAAATGAAAGCAAGATAAAAAACAAGGATGAAAAAAGAAAAAAATAACTAAACACCAAACAAAGAGGCTTAACTACGGTAAAACATTATTTGGTAGAATAAAATAATTTTAAAATTTTTTAATTAAAATTTTTTATTTAATTAATTTTTTCTAATATTTTTCATAAATTTTCTGCTTTAAAAAAAAACATAAATCATTTTTCTTTATGGATTGATTTTAAAATAAAAAATTATAATAATTTTAACTAAAATATTAATCAAGAATTAAAAAAACCTTAAAAATATATTTTTCATAATATCATATTCTAAAAAATAAAGTTATGATTAATGAACAGACTTTTATAAAAATTAACAAATAAAAAAAAATTCTTATTTAATGTTGATGAGAAAATTAATTTTTAAAATTATTCGTACAATGCTACGAGTAGATAGAACAAAATCATTTCAAAATTTTATAATTTTTTATTAATCTTTTATTTAATTATTAATTTTTTTTGTTTTTTATAAAATTTCTGCTTCAAAAAATATGATTTATTCTTCTTTATTCAGGGATTCTTAAATAAAAACTTGTAATAATTTAAACTTGAAATATTAATTAAGAATTTAAAAATAAATACTTTGAGATTATTTTTTTTTATGAGAATACACCCAAAAAATAAAGTTATAATTAATATATAGACTTTCATAAAAATTAACCTATGAAAAAATAAAATTTTATTTTCATTTAATATTTATGAGAAGATTATTTTTTTTTCAAGTATATGCATTTGATCTATATTTATTTATTTAAAAAATAATTAATAAAATTAGCATAAAAAATTATACTTGAATAATTAGTTTGTTCCTTTAAAAAATTATTTTAATTATTTTATTTTAAATAAATTGGTTCGATAATATTAAAAAAATATTCTTAGTAAATAATTTGTATTATGTTGAAACATTTATAGTTATTTTTTAATAAAAACAATAATTAAATAATTTTTTTTATACGTGTTTACCATACATAGTGAACTGAGATAAATTATTTGAAATACATTTTTAATCTTGTAGAATAAAATAATTATATATTTATATATATGCAACTATCATTTAAAATTTATAAGAATTTATAATATATATTATACCAATTTATTTTTAAAAAATTATATTTTAAAAAATTATTCTAAAATTCAAACATAGATAAAAAAAAATTATATTTATCTGTAAATAAAATTTTAAATAAAAAATATTAATTGGATAAGAATTTTCATTAAAAAAAAAGAAAATAAATTTAAAGAATGAAATTGAAATAATAAGAGTAATATAAGCTGGAATATAAAAAGATAGCATATATATGTGTGTGTGTTGCGTGAAAATGAAAACTAAGGATTTGAAAAAAATATTATAACATGAGGGATGAAAATAAAAAAAAAAAGTGTTAAATTTGCATATTAATGCTAAAAAACACAAAAAAAAATCACTAAAATTATCATAAAGTGAATAGTAATTTCATGCATATGACCAATAAACAAGGGTGTTCACTATTCGGTTAAAACCTAAATATTAAACCGAAATATTAATTTGGATGCGGTTTTTTTTTTTTTCAAATTAAGAAAAAAAAAACCAATCGAAATTATTTCGGTTTTTGGATTCGGTGCGGTTTATTTTTTCAAAATTTCGGTTAAACCGAAAAACCATTATTCTCATATCAATATCCCGTCGCTCAAATTTCAATCCCTGAGACTAAGATAGTAGCAGATGGCGCCTTCCTCCTCCACGGCTCCACCACTGCCAGCCTTCAGCCCCTCCTCCAGGCTCCATCACAGCGAACGTCACTCAGCCACCTGGCCCACCTCTCCCTCCTCCTTAGAGTCTTCGACAGCCCTCAGGCCATCCTCCTGAGATTGCGATCCACCTCGGCACCTCCCTCATCCGGCGTCTCTCCTCTTCCACTTAGCTGCTCTTCTCTCTCTATCAGTTTCACTGACTTTAATTCATAGTGAGTCACGAGAATGATTGGTTCTAGAAATTAATACCAGTCTTGCTCCCTTTTTTTGCATGGATTTTCCCTAATTTATCTGTTGTGGGCTTGTAGCTTCACCTAGTAACTAGACTGGGTTCGAATTAAACTGTAAATCTTTCTTGTTTTTGTTTTATTTTCTTGTATTTAAACTGTGAATAATAATTGACTTGTGTTAATACAATTTCCAGTTAATACCTTTACAATGTAAAGTTTAATGTGTTTTCTTTGTCATTGTTAATCCTCTATTTGATGATTGGTTCTAGAAATTGATAGTTATAAACTGATAAACTTACAAATTTTATTGTAGATTCTGTGGCAACTGACAATGTTGTTATTTGATATTTCCCTAACTTTTAATGCTTTGAGATAATGTTCATTTTTCTTTTCTTTTTTTCTTTTTTTTTTGCCTTCTCAGTCATGATAGAATCTATTTGATGATTTATTGAAGTTCTTGACAGTCCTATGAATTGATGGGTTGAATCCAGTGCGGGTTCAAATGTTGCAACCTGCATGAGCTAGAATTAGGCATCTCTATTCATACTGATTTTTCCTATATAATGGTTCCATATGTTGGATTGCAAACAAACTGAAAGTAGTTCACTGCTAAGGGTGAAAAAGATGCTCTGGTTACTAAGAAAATGGATCATCAAAATGAAAGCTAGAAATAGAAACACAAATAGCATATTTTTGTGGGTGTTTCTGACTTCTTTTGTTTAAACATGAATTCATTATTAACAATCACTGTCATATTTGCATGCTTCCTTCCCGGTATAACTATAGATAGCTTACATCATATTTGCATGTTTAAAAAAAGATTTATGCTCTCAATAATTATTATAAGTGTAACTATAGATAGCTTACATCATATAGCTCAAGAAATAGAAAGAGACATGCCACATGGGCAAAATGCTGAGACGTTTCAGAGTTGGTATTTACATGCATGGAATCTTTGGAGCGGGGATGAGAGGTTGTATGAAGCATTTATATTTTCCCCAGGTATCTGGATTTTGAACTACTTTGATCAGCTCCTATGCAAGAAATAATTGTCAATGATAGTTGATGAAGCTGCTGCATTTCTAATGGTGATGCAGCGTGTATTATTATAATGAGTTGTGCTTCGTGGAATTTCTGAAACAGGGATTTGTTGTAGCAAGAGTTGTTAGGCTTGTAAACTTCCGAGCAAGTTTTTTAGTCCCTTTAACTGTACCAAATCTCGTCAAGTATTTTCACTTTTTTTTTTTTTTTCAGATTTTACAAAAAAACAAAATAATAAAATGAATAAAAACCGAATTACTGAACATGAAATCGAAATATTTCGAAATCGAATTGAAAAACCGAATAACATTTCAGTTCGGTTTCGATTTATTTTTTTTTTGGAAATCTGGTTAATCAAAAACTCGTCTAAAATATTTCGAAATCAAACTGAAAAACTCGAAAGAACATTGTAACGAGTAAGTAAATAGGAATTTTAGGCATATGAATAGTTTGGTCCGTAATGTGAAACGGATTCTCGTGTTACGTTGCGGATCAAATATATTTATTTCAGCTTGATAATATATATTATGTTGTCGGTTAATTAAAATATATTAAACTAAACATAAAAGATAAAATTTCATCTAATTTTATAATTTTTAATCATTTTTTTTTTTGGTGTGTATTATGTTTTGAATAAATTTTGAAGTCAAAAAAATATGATTTGTTCTTTCTTATGTATTTATTCTTAAACAAAAAAACCATAATAAACAAATTTTAATATAATTTCTTTTAAAAAAACATCTTAATAATTTTTCATAACTTTGCATTGAAGAAATAAAGCAAAAATTAATATAAAAACTTGTATGAAAATTAACAAACGAAGATTTTCTACTGATAAGAAGATTATTTTTTTAAAATATATGCATTTTATTTATATATATTTATTTACAAAATAATGAATAATATAAGAAATTAAATTGTAACATATATATTGAAGTTAATAGAGTGTAATAAAAACTATAAAATTGATTTCTATAAAATTTGATTATATATATAAAAAAGAAAATTAAATACATATATTCTATTTTTAAAATTTGATTATATAAGAATTAGGCAAATAAAAACATGTATTAAAAAAAACTTATTCGAATCCATTCATAGAGAAAATAAATCATGTTTAGTAATAAATAAAATTATATAAAAATAAGAATAAAAATTGACTTAATGAGAATTTTTATAATAAATTGAAAAGATTAATTTTAAATAATATGAGTAGTATATATTTATTCTAAAATCTAAAAATATATCGTATATATTATATAATCGTCGGTTTGTATGAAAAAAGTAACGCTTAATTTTTTAAAATTTTAACACCCAATAAAATTTTTTTTTAAAAAAATAAATTGATGAAAAAAAAAACAAAGAAAAAAAAGCATGTGTCATCAGCTAGTGGATTAAATTTTTTATTCTAAAATTTCAAGGACCAAAATGAAATAATTTGAAAAAAATACCTAGTTACAGTTAGCGAATATTGGTTTCTGAAGACATGAATACTGAAAATCACTGTTTAAACCCCCACCTACTAATAATAATAATAATAATAATTAGGACACATGTTCTGATGCATACAAATATTTATGTACCATATCTATACATTAGTAATTTGTGTTAGCTAACAGCGTATGACTGGTTCGACTAGAAGGCACATGACTGGGAGCCATCCAGCCAATGGGCTATTATCCGGGCAAAAAGATAATCGCCAAGCAAAGATGGCATTGCCCAGGAATGCAGGTTAAGATGAATAATTACATTATAAGTACATAGTTTTTTAATTATTTTAATCGAGTATATAAAAATTTTTTAGTACATTAATTTTTCAAAACTATCAATTAAAAACTTTCGTTAATTGATTATGTGTTTGTTATCTTCAAAATACCAATTTTTTTTTCTCTTTTTGTTGTGAGAAACTTTTCCCCTTAAATTATTCTAACATTTTAAAATTTAATAAAAAATTAAAAAATATTTTTTAGTTATAAAATCTCAAACTAAAATTATTTAGGCTAGTTATTAAAAAAATCATTAATTAAGTCTTGAAAGTGAAAGATGAAGGAAACACAAACATGATATTTTTTTTATAAAAATGATTCATTTGTGTTTTCTTTTAATTTTCACTCATAAACCTAATTGATATTTTTTTAAACAACAAATCTAATCGAATTTAGCTTTTATATATATATATTGAAATTGTAGAATAATTTAGGTCCAAAAGTTCTCTTTAGCCAAAAAAAGATAAGATTGTAATTTTATATTTGAACACGTTATAAGTTAAAGAAAAAATTGACATAAATGTATGATGATAATTTTTAAAAAAAAATTGATATATTCAAAAAGAAAAATTAAAATTTATTTATTTGATTAAAAAAATAAAATTATAATTGGTATTCTAAAAGTGATGAATATATCAATTGACAGAAAAATCGACGAAAGTATTTGATGAATAATTTTTAAAAAATTAATGCATTAAAATAGAAAAAATTAATTCACATATTCAATTCAAAAAAGTAAAAAATTTATACGCTCGCTGCAATTATCCCGAGGTTAATATTATACTACGATGGTGATATCTCCCGATTGAAGAGGCATCACCCGATCAAAGAACAGCCTGTCTTCCTCTATAGTGGGCCAAGCATAGCCCTGGCTACATTTGTCCGACTAATGGACCCAGAAACTACTCGGTTGGTGTTTACAATATCACGTAAGGGCTTCTTGCCACGTCTTCTTTTTGGTGTCACGAGTGAGGTTCTGTATGCTTTTGTATACGGCACTATACATACATGAGATGCACAACTTTATGACCTGTGATGGAGAGCCGGTAGATTTTCAGTCAACCACAACTACTTTCATCCTAATCTAAACAGCTAAAAAATAATTAAGGTTGCCTTTTTTGTACAAAATTGTAAATCGAAGCACAATATTGTTTAGGAATGTAGTTTTTTAAAGATGTTTTTGTGTGTTAATAAATTGAAATTTTGCAAAGATTCCTTCAAAGTTTTGGTATTCAAATTTATTAACCAAATATTAGTATTCATTGACAGATCAAGATATCAAAGTTGTTGGTGAATTATTCTTAAAAAAAATGTCAATAATTCGTCCATTTGCAATATAGTTTTTATTTTTTTTCTTTCAAATTTTAACTCTAAATTTTTAGTTTTTTTTTTTATAAAATTTATATTTTCTATAAGTAGATTGTTTTATTGTATTTGAACTGCTTTTAAATATAAATGCAGAAACCTTCGGTTTCAGTTGAATAAAATATCTATCTTTAACAAATAATAATAAAAAAAAACTTTATGTATGACCTACTTGAATTCAAAATCACATGTAAAAAAATATATCAAGATTCTAAATGGATAAAGCAGTATATGGTTACTAATTCCTCGAAAATCTTATTTAAAATTGAATCCGTCACTATTTTCTAACTTCTCGTTAATATGACTAGTTTTTATCCATATCGCAACTTTTTTATTATTCTTATTTATCGCTAACTAGGTATGGTTTTACACTATAGTTGTCCCATAAAATTTTGGGTGTAAACTTATAAAACTGGAGTTCTAAAATTCAAAATTTGTATAGCTGGATCACATGCCTACGTACTGACTTGCTTAACTGGAATACTGTGGTCAAAGCCCCTTTTTTCCTTGAACTGACCTTATTAATTGCGGCGTACTAGTTGTGAGAAAACGAGGAAAGTTATGGAGCTCTAAATTGGCAACTTGTAGAGTAGAATAGTCTGGAATTTATTGCATTGCGACTGAAATGTGCGACGGCAGGAATATGTTCATTATTTCTACGTACGAAGTAGTTCTGATCAACTTATAAATTAGAGCAAACCATGTTTGACAACATGGAGCTCCTTCCTTTCTACTCACCAATTTAATGCCCCTCTGTTTAAGGGATTAGGCGTACGTACGACCTCAGTTTATGTGGTCGTTAAAACAATTTCTGGGCAATTAATAACAAATTTCACCGTTATGAGTGATTAATTAGGCCTTTAATCAACTACGTACTTTAATATATATTTTTCCTCCATATATATAATCTTTACAATAGAAAATGACTCTCTAATTAACTAGTTAGTTTGTGTGACTCTCTAATCATCACACACACACACACATATATATATATATTGAAATTGAATTAAGTATAAACTATTATTCAATTACCATGCATGCTTTGAGAAAATTAATTAGTTAATATCCATGGTTTAAAAAATCCAAAATTGAATCTCTACACTTTCATATTTCTTTACGAGTTAGTTCTTCTGTTAGTTTTTTATGACAATTTGATTTATTTTTTTAATTTTTTTCTTTGGTAAAATGTTCTTCATTTAAAAAGGATTCTTTATCTGGGCTTCTCAAAAAAATAAAGTCAATTCTATTCAAGAGGTACTAATTTATGAGTTTCAAAATTAAAAGGACTCACATGTAAAATCATAAAGCTTACAGGACCTAAACAATATTTTACAAAATTCAAATCATCACTTGTTCTTGAACCTAAATATTACTATGTGCATGCACAAACATCTATTACTTTTTTTTTTTTCTTTTTTTCATCTTTCAATGCATAGTAGTAATTAAATCTTTTAGCTAGACGATAGAAGTGGGCATCTCTCTTTATAAAATAATAACAAAATAAACTAAAATTATTAATAGGTTTGAATATTCAAACCTGTTTTATAAAAAAATCTATCGAATATACAATACAACCGTTATGATAGGATACACTTGCTCATTTAACATCAATTACTTAAGGATGGCATTTATATATGTGCAAGGCCAATTGTTTTTATCTGTCGAGTCATGTGGACTAAATTTTAATTTGTATGTACCTACTACAATTTACTATAGATCATGAATCAAATTGAGGTTCCTTTGTAAGAAAATAAAAGTAATTAAAGCAAAAGGGAAACAACTCCATTTTAGACGTATGTGCATTAGTTATGCATGGCAGCAAAGCAGGATCCTCGAAGTCGTAGCTGCCAGGGAGTTACGGGCCGCTGATTATCCATATGAAGCCATATCCCTAATTAGCTACGTCAGAAAAAGTTCTACAACTGCTATTATCGTCACATGTTTGGCATTTTCAAAGCCGAGAAAGGTAGTTAATATAATTTATCAAAAAAGAAAAATTAATTAACGTACGGTTTAATTTGTCAATTTATATGTTTGCATAATTGCGTTGGTCTGCAGTATGGCTTATGAATTGGTCTCGGATATACATGACACAAGCATGAAAACAGAGAAGACTTAATTTTTCTTATAAGCCAAAAGCATGAAAACAGCCACCAAAGTGGCAGAACCACATGGTGATCAAGCAAGAGTATATCCGCAATAGAGAGAAGGCAAACCAAAAAACCAAAAACTACTTACGTTGAGAAGAGTACTCGTTCATATGTACCTAGCTTGCATGTCTTAAGAATTCTTTTACATGAATTATTGGTTACCTTGCTCATCCTTTTCCTTCGTAATTAAGTCCCAGTACTTATGACTATAAAGCCCTAACATCAAATTAAAGAAGGTGTTTCAAGCTGTTGGAGTATTAAACATTTGCAGAAGGTGTAGCAAGAAAATATTGCATTATCCATGTATATATTCTGCAGAATCAATTTTCAGGTAATCAATTATAAACGAATAAATATTGGAGTATAACATATGCAATATTTCTCCCACTGCAAACCAAAGAACATGTATTGTAACAGGAAAAAAAAAAAAAAAAACAAAGAAATCAAGGAAAAGAAAAGGAATAGCATGCATGTACATTCAAGATCTAAAGGTCTTCCATTCTGAGATTTACAATTACATCACACATCTTTGGAAACTACTACAAAAAGGGAATAGATCAGAAAGGCCTTCTATTGAAAAATGTAACAAAAAACGAGGACAAAAATAATGCACACAATTAAGTACAGGTTTTGCAAGAAATCAATGACTCTCTATACTTTGGATGCAAGCTGGTAATTGATCAAGCTTTGAATGAAGAGGGGAAACAAGGAGATTTGTTCCATGTTTTAAGATGAAACCCTAAAATTTGCCTGGCTTTTTCCTTGGTCTTTGAATTGCATTCACTTTGTATCACCATGCAAATCTTAGTCACTCCGCCCACCTCCATAAATTCTTGTGCGACTGCCTCACTCCTAATACAAAATCTCAAAACACATGACAACAAACTTATTGATTTATCATCTCCGACATGGGAAACCTTCAAAATCTTTGATAACACAGCTGCCATGCCTGCTGGATGTGTCAGAAAGGCCGCCCGCCCTTCTGCTTTCTGGCACAGTTTTTCTAGCACGACCAACATCATCTCGCACGCACGCCTCTCATTATCTTCAGCTAGCAATTCGATCAGGATCGGAATGAGTCCTCCCTTAATAGCTTTCTCTTTGTTCTTCCCATATGACAAAACTTCCATTAAAATAGCTAAGACTGCCATGCTTCCATGTTTTGAGTTTTGGTCCTTCAATATCTCAAAGATATTCTCAAAGAACTCAACTTTAAGTCCTTCCTTGTAAATGCCATCAACCACTTCGAATATGGGCTTTAGGACAAGAGCAGCATGAATTCTAGTCTGTAGATTGCTCAGATACTGTGTCATTATTGAACAAAGTGAACAGATTAGTAGACCATTTTCTTTTTCTGAAACCATCCTTAATGTCTCATCGGACGGCCTCAAAAGACACAACAAAGACACGGCTTCAGCGATAGTCACCAGCGTGTCATTACCAGTAATCTGTGGTGTCCCTGGTAACTCAGTTTTGACAACTAGAGATGCTAGCAGAGAAAATAAGCCATCATCTCTAATGCAACTAATCCTGTTATCATCACCATGATTCTCTTGGATTATTGACTTCATCTTTCTAAGAGATTTTACCTGTAAAAGGGGCTGCTGAATCTCTTCCAGAAGCATTTTCATCAAGGCATCGTGATTAGGCTCCACAAACTTTGCTGTTATTGTTAATGATGATGTTGATGATGATGCGTGTTGCAAGTGCCACGATTGGATCAAGCGAAGAAGATTAGAGTTTGGGGTGAGACGGAAATCAGAAAGGGGTTGTTTGGTTATAGGACAAGTGATGTTTTTATAAGAGAAAAGCCATTTCTGAATGCTTTCTCGATCAAAGGTCATGCCTGTGGATATAGTAACTGGATCTTTCATGACCTGAAGAGATATTGGGCAGATAAAAAAAGATGGCACAACATGATGATCAAAACCATCCATTCTTTCAATTTCTTGTTCCTCTCTTTGCGTTCTAAAATAGCTAGAATCAAGATTCAAGAACAAGGAGAGAGTATATGCAATAGGTAACAACAAAAATGGTTGTAATTAATAGAAAGGAATTAAAGAGAGAGGGAGAGATGATTGATCCGTAATTGGGTGTTGACATCGTTGACATTTGAATGGTCAAAAGAAGGCGCTGCATTGCATATAATACAAGTAGAGTGGAAAATATAGATTAAATTAAAAAAAGGAGATAGATGCCATGGTGACAACTGACAAGATCACACAGATCTTGTGTGAGTTCAATGGATCTCTATTGGTCACAGGATCTATATCCTTTTTTATTATCTTCAGCTTTTAGCTCGGACTTCATTCTTGTCTTTGACTTTTCATTTGCTAAGCCAAAATGTTAATTATATATATATATATATATATATATATATATATATATATATAACCCAAATGGAGACTGTTAAGTGAATTCGGCTTATATAACTATGTTATCTTCTTTATACAGCATGATATACACCAAACAGCGCATTCCTTGACCAAATAGTAGTATTTTCCTTTTTTTTTTTTTTTTTTTTGTGGCCAATATTGAAAATTTTCTTTTATGAAGAATTAAAATGGGGAGTTTTTTTTTCTTGTAAAATAAAACCTTGAAATGCCGTGGACCAACCAAAAGTGTGTTGACATTAGGAGAAAAATTTTTATAATATATAAGGAATACCTAGTGATATGTATAGTAGTTATTTCATGGATTCACTGCGAGGAGAGAGATAGACACATTAAATTATATCCGAACTCATCAAAGTGATAATAAGATTTTCGGAGTTCGCTCAAATTTTTTTTTTAATTTTCTCTCTCATTTTTCTCATTTTTTTTAATCTATTTCTCTCTTCAAAGTAATTCATAAAATAATTATTATATATATCATTAATTATTTTTTATATATTATAAAATTTCTCGACATTAGGAGTGTAGTTTGGGTGAAGTAGCTTCTTTTATGAAGAATATGAGTGCCAATTTCTTGGCATGGATGTGGGCATATGGCTATGCTAGCGCAATTTCTTCATTTTGGCTGCTTTGCCGCTTCATTTTCTTTCCTATTCAATTATGATTTTTTTTTTTTGTCCTTTATTCTCATTTTATTTTAATTTGAATAAATTGATATCATTGTTTTTAGGTTTTATTTTATTTAAATGGTCAAATATAACATGCATAAATTGTAAACTGGACATGATGTTAGCTTTTAAAATACAACACTTAATTGATAAATTTTTAAAAATACAAATACTCAAATAGCCAAAATGAAAAGACGTGTGTATATATATACTAAAAAAAAAAAACCTACCTACACTATAATAGTAAAAAAAATATAAATAAAAGTATAGGCACGTAGTTATAAAAATAAAGTGAAATTTGTACACAATCGTCTTACATGTCATCATGTGTAAATTTAATGACAACATCAACTTTTATTTGACATAATCTTTAAAAAAAAAAAAAAACTCTTGATTATCATATATTTGATATAGAATTTTTCGATTTTATTGAATGTGTGAACTTTTAATGTTTTTTTTTAAAAAAAATCAAAAAATACCCTTTATCATTGGATAAAAAAAATTAAAAATTTGCACACTCAAATAAAAAAAAATCATGGACAATGCATATAGTCAATTAAAAGGAAATAACTGACAAAAAGATATATTATGAAATATAAAAGAAGTAAACTTGTAACTAATTTATTTTAAAATTAGTTAATGATTTGTACAGTTCATGTACTATAAGCAATTGTTTAATTAATTTCTTGCATCAAGTTAAGTGTTAATTAATTAAATTTTTATATTGAATCAATTTGTTTAATATAAACTCCTCATTAGTGATTTGACTAACAATATTAAGTTAATTGCATAATCAGAAGATACGTGTTATTTGACTGTTGACCTCTTTAGTTTTTTATTTAGTTTTTTATTATTTAAAACATTTGTAGAAATTATTTAAAAAAAGCTCTTATTTCAGTATAAAAGCGTGAACCCACCCATTTCCGTGGCCCATGGATCGATGATTATATCACCCGACCAAAATACTAAAGTCTAAAAACAGAATCATCAAAAGTGTAACAAAAACGTTAACGACAGAATCAAATATCACTGCCTCACATGTAAAATCACTCCGTGTTCCTATGTTTAATTGTAACTTTTAATCAATCTTTAATAATCAATTAGATGCGAATTTAAATATCTCTTTATTATATAAATTTCATCAAATTAATCATTCTACAATAAAATAGAATTAATTAAGAAAAAAAGTATAAATCGAAGGACTTAATTATTATTATTATTATTAGGTTACATTAACTAATAAAATAAAACATACAAAATTATAAAAACTAGTTAAGTCATTCGTTTTATCCTTTATTGAAAATAAAGTATAAGAAAATAACGATTATTAATTAGGTTTAATATTTTTCTATGCTTTATTTTATTAGATAACCTAACCTAATAATCGTTAAGTTATTGTTTTTATACTTTGTTTTATTAGTTAACTCCAATTTACTATAGAACGATTTATTTGATTAAATTCATATAATAGAAGCATATCTGATAATTTTTCGTCAGATCATTCGCATCTAATTGTTTAACAATTAATCAATTGATGAGATTAGTAATATTAACATATTTTTGTAATGGAGGCAGATGAAAAATTAAAAAAAAATTGTAATTTTTTTTTTTTGAAATGCTCACATGACTCAAAATAAAATAAAGGATGGGATATGATTAAGAATTAGAACATTACATCAAAATAAAATAAAGGATTCGATATGATAAAAAATTAAACGTATATGTGCAGGATGTGATTTTTTTTTTTTTTTTTTTTGGCCATTTAGCATTATCACTTGCGAACGTGGGTGTAAATTTTCATGTTTTGCCTCACCCTGATAAATAAATACTGACAAAATAACTTTCCTAGCCCTTGTCGCATATGCTAAACTTCAAGAAGGCGGTGTCTTGTGGCCTTTGCCAATGTCGATTTTCCACGTTAATTTGTCGTGAAACGACATCGTGTCATCTCAGCAGCATCGGTATTATCATAAAGAAAAAAGAATTTTACTCTTTTTTTCCCTTTTTTGTGTGATAAATCAAATTAGTAGAAGCAAATTATTTTCATTTTCATGATTAATTAGCCAGTCCAAGAAAGGGAAAGGGTTATTTTGTTTTCTTATTATTTTTAAAATTATCACAACCATCCATCAGTCTGAATTCTACTTTCTCTACCATTATAGAAAGTCTAATCTAGAATCAAAAGCATATTTTTTATTTATTTATTAATATTATTATCATATGGAATAAGAATAAAAATATATCATCATCTCCATCACCATCCAAATCATCATCATAACTATCAACAACCAACAGCACCAATAGAAAGACAGGAAGAAAGAAAGCTCGCTCTTGTTGGACCAATAAAATAATTTATAGAAACAAAAAGAAAAGAAGGAAAAATTCATTGAAAGAAAGACGGAGAAAAGTAGAGATGGCGAATCTGTATGTGACGGCAGTGCCACCGGCGGATCTGAACAGGAATACCGAGTGGTTCATGTATCCTGGAGTTTGGACTACTTACATATTAATATTGTTCTTTTCTTGGCTTGTTGTTCTCTCTGTCTTTGGTTGCTCTCCTGGCATGGCTTGGACCATCGTCAATCTCTCCCACTTCGCCGTACGTTTTCTTCCCTTCGTTTTTCTTCATTTTTACATGGGTTAGGTTAGGTTAGGTTAGGTTATAATTTGTTGGTTAGGGATTTCATTTTTTTCCCCTCCATTTCAAATGATTGAAGAAAGAAAGCCAATTGCGATAGTAATTGTTATTATTATTTGAGTGTTGATGATTGCATGTGTGTTTGTTTTAGTTTGCTAATTTATCAAATTTCTTTAGCTGCATCGTTCTTGATTGATTGAAATTATTAGATTATATTTATCATCAGATGGCAAGACTGAGGATTGGTGTTTTGGTAGCAAATGCATCCACCCTCCTCCTCCTCCCTTGAACCTGCATCCACCCCGTGTATGAGTAGGATTGGCTTCTAAGTCCCTTGGTATGAGTAGTATGAAATTAATTGAGAATCGAACCCAGCTGTCTACGCTTTTCTAAATTTAATTACCTTTTTTTTTTTTTTTTGGAGAATTGCGACCTCAAGCAACTTTATCAGCTATGCCAACGAGACATGAGCATCAGGGTGCACTGAATTTAATGGGACATGCTTAAAATCTGTGAGGCTATATGTTTTGAACTTCTGGTTTCTTCTAGGCTTAGGTTACTAAAAGATGTGGGAAAAACACACATTTGAATTACGGCATGTTATTGTGGATATGCAATAGAATTTGCCACCCTATGATGGGCTATTTACCTTGGTGAAACCACAAGCAAGAGAACAGCTTCATTTTTTTTTATTCTCTGCATCAAGACACGAAGTTGAACTAGGTTGTTGAGCTCTGTGATGTGGGGATTAGATAGATTTGCAACTATGCTGATATTTTGATTCTCTGCATTCTTGTAGAATCTATATAATCCGTTATTGTTGTTAGGTATTTGGTCTTATGTCAATATCCAGTGCTGTCTGATATCTTCATCCTTGCTGTCTGAAGTGCATTCTGCACTGCTCTTTTCGCTTGGGAAATGACCCACAAACAAACAAATTTATGCAAAATCTTCTTACTTATGTGGTGAGTGATAAGCGATTACTGTGATTCATGGAATCATTAATGGTCAAATATGGAAAAGCCAACTTTGAATTCAGTTAGAGTGAAATTTTTGTACGACCTTTTTGTTTGTATACTATTACTCTTTTCCCTCATCACGAACTGATTTCGGTATAGGGTTTGCTCACTGCAGATTTGAATATGGAAAAATGTGTATGTCTTTAGGGTGGGCCTGTTGTTTGAACAGGAATAATGGGTAAATGGGGTCTAATTGAGTTGTATGAAAGCTTTTATGGTTGTAAGCAATGACAGAATAGGCATTGAATAGGTATTAAATTTCTTATTCTTTGCATCACAAATGACTTAACATGGATCTATTTTCGACCACCTGTACAACTTTTTATGAATCATCATTCACCATTACGACAAGTTTTGTCTTCATTTCAGTGGCAGCCAATTTGTTTGTTTGTTTGTTTTTTTTTTTTTTTTGAACATCGGTTGATTAGAATGCTTCACTTTTCAGGTCACTTACCACTTTTTCCACTGGAAGAAAGGAACCCCATTTGCAGAAGACCAGGGAATCTATAACCGGCTGACCTGGTGGGAGCAGATGGACAATGGAAAGCAGCTTACACGCAACAGAAAGTTTCTAACTGTTGTTCCTGTGGTGCTGTAAGTTTTCTGAAAGACCTTTTATATTTATAAGTATGCATGTGTACACACATGTATTGACGTGCTTCCTATTTCTTAATCTAAAAATTTTGTTGTTTCATAGTTATATTTAAGTTAGGCAAACTTTTCCTAGTTGCTTATACTCCTTGTCACTCTTGTTGTTTGTCACTTAAGCACAGAATGATTGAATTGTGTAAATATGTGAAAGTCTTTGTCAAGAAGCTTGAAAAGCTTTCTCTCATTTGTGTGTGGAGGGGTGTTTCATAGTTGCCCTTTTCTAGGCCTCTGCTTTCCTCTTGTCAGGGGTTACAATGAATACTTTGGCTGTTTTTTACTGTACGTGATTTGTAATTATGTTTTTTGGGAAGATTTGAGCTACTTAAGGTTTCATTGGTTGCCCATCCATGATAGACTGTGTGCTTTAAAGCTTGTCTGTCATAGTTTGAACTATGTAATGCCATACTGTCCACGTATATGGAGTAAAATTTGAATTAAGTTGGATAAAATCACTTGATAAGAGTTATCTACTATTGTAAGAATTCATGGTGCTTGTTAGCGAGATGCCATGGTTTTGTTCGGGTTAAATTGCTTTGGAGAAAGCATAATGCATCTTGCATGGGTTAGCATAGCTGCAAACCTTTGGTTACTGGTCTAATGCAGCTCTTTTGGGTCAATTAAAATCGGCTTGTATTGGTGGGCACCTCTGGCTAGATTTTTGTGCCTTTAGTTCCATAGTGCAATGCTGTTTTTCAGTCTTCAAGTTGTGCCTAAATCATGGGAAAATGTGTTGAAATTGCCTGATATATATATATATATATATATATATATATATATATATATATATATATATATTTATTTAACCAGAGGACCATTTAGCTGTTGAACCTTGTCCATGCATGATTGCTGTCTTATCGAAAGTTACTAAGCAGCACTAAGTTTCCCCTTGAACATGTTATCTGTAATAGAATGGACATGCATTTCCAAGCCCTTTGATGTTGTTTGCCTATGCTTGAAATTGAGAGGATACTTACATGTGCTTTCTCTGGCAGATACTTGATAGCCTCACACACAACTGACTATCAAAATCCAATGCTCTTTTTAAACACGGTTGCTGTGTTGGTGCTTGTTGTTGCCAAGTTCCCGAATATGCACAAGGTTCGGATCTTTGGAATAAATGCAGACAAGTGAGTTGGGCATGTGTTAAAAAATAGATGTTTTACTTGTTTAAAAGCCACTGATCCTTCCGCAGTTCTGCTTAAAGGCTATTAAATCTTTGTATAGAAGTCGGAACTTGAAGGTTATTTGAATTGTAATGTTTTTGTGCTGACTGCTTTTGACAAGCTGTTCCTGGGTGAAGCAATTAAGTGTATCGAGTTAATATTTGTACAGTTGAGAAATGTTGGGTATCTTTGGCGTATAGTGCGGGCCGTTGTCAGGTTTTGGCTCTTTTTTCGCAGCACTATAAATACCATCGGTGTTTATATTTAAACTTTCGACATGTAGCTGTACTGTTGGCAATCTTGTTGCTGACTGTATTCTGTTAATTAATGAACTCTTATGTTAGGTTTCTATATGCAGGTCAGATGATTTAAACAAATGAGAGCTAGGAAGTGCTTTGGTTGTGTGGATCTTTAAGGTTTCTGTTAGGTACTGGCCGAGGGCCCGCCCCATCGCGCGGGACCACGCGGCTGTTCACCAAAAAAACTAACCAGCGGACCATATGTAATTAAAGACAACGCTAAAATAGGACTGTTTCTACTTAGTAATCATCGGACTCCCTTCTCATTTGATTTTTATGACTAAATTAGAGCGGGAAGGTAGAACAAAGGCGCCTATAATTGATACGGGATGACTTTATTATCCATTTTTTGAGAGGAGAAATAGACATGATAAACACAGTTGAAATAGAATCTCTTCACCTACTACTCTTTGAACTGGAATTCACACAAAGCCGAAGCAAAGGTTGCACACCACCAGTCAAATTCATCCAATAAGAAGCTGGGTGTCAAGGACAGACCATTCTTGAGCGGGATGTTTCTTCTACTTTTTCTTACATAAAAAAAAAAAAAAAAATGTTTGAAAACTGGTTTTTATTTTTATGCTCAAATTATGTTGTGGGCATATTGTTGCAGGCTATTCATTTGGATGGGCCTTTATAGGATTCTCTTTTACGTGGGCTTGTAATGAGTGTCAAGCATGAGTTGAAGAAGCGCATGTAAATTTCTTTTGGTCTTTCTTTCCCATGTTGGTCTAGCTCTCTCCGTCCTAAACATGCTCCTCTCCTTGTCTTAGTCTATTTGCGCCTTTTTTTTTTTTTTTTTTTTTGTGGCTATCGATTCTTGAACCTCAACCTCCCAATTTTCTTTCCTTACAGCTGTTATTTTATTTCAGCAATTTCTCTATCTAAATTTCTTTTCATGTTTAGTTTTTTAAGCGGGATTTCTTTTATATAGATTTTCAAATTCATGCAGTAGGCATGCTATGCACATATGTACCAACCACTAGCACTTCATATTCATAAACTGTCATATCAATCATACATTTAATACTGCAATTGGGCTTAACTATTTTACTATTGATTTTTTCACGAAAATACATTACAAGAATCACTCACTAATTCACGTAATTACTATGAAGTCTTCCTCGCATGGTAGTTTAGAGCATGACACTTTTAGCCTTCCCAAAACCAAACTCAAAAGGGTCTGCGCCTTAAACGTGTAGCTAAAGTCGATGCATTATCTATACAGACATATAAATACAAATAAAGCCTTATAATCCTCATATGCATGTAGGTACACCATACATGTTTACCATGTCATCCATTCACATGTGCTATTCATATTCATATATGTATACAACTGTGTTCAGTTATGTGTAACCTTTATTGAAAACTATAATGGCTGGATGGCACTTTGCTTCCCCATTTTTCTGTTCAGCTTTAGTTTTGATTTTCTAACGACTCTTCTCTGAGCAGGGCACTCATCCACAGGTGCCAAGGAATACAGGAAACTTTGGCAGCCTCTTTCCAGTAATCATGATTCTCCTACGAATCCTACAGCCCTGCTGGATTGGTTTCTCCAGAATTTTGGATTGCAAGGCGTCTTCCAATCAAATGAAACACCAAAAAGGATTGAGTGCTTTCAGATTTATATTACCACTAGTGTCCGTTCAAATTCACGTAGACATTCAATTCAAAATAAATTTCCAATTATTATGGCACTCAAACCGAACAAACTCATTGTCTCCCCTCTCAACTCCAGTGCAGATTCATGCATTCAGTTCCATCGTGTTAATTACGCATTGCTACATGCATTAATCACCACCCAAATTAATGTCTTCAAATAAATTTCTCTTCAAAGAAACCCTAGTTAGATCAAATCTAACCTTCTAACGAGTTAGTCCTCCATTTTGCGATTGAAACGAATCATTTCATTGACAAAAGCACCATGAACAACATTAATTACCCAAAACATATGGCACTCCATAGAAATCCAAGTTGGACTAATTGTAAGCCTTTACTATAGAAATGGTTGTCGAATTGAGATGCCAAAATTCAACGTCAACGTAGCTGAGGAACCAATAGAAATGGTTGACTGGGACATAAGGCAGTTCGATGATTTCAAAAATCACAACAGCGGTCACATGCAATTGAGTACTGTGCAGGTAAGAGCTCTTGTTATGTGATCAATTAATTATATATAAATACCACAGGCCGGTTTGCTTATAGTCTTGGCATGCTATAAGGTTGAAGTGGATGGCTAAGAGACGTTTAGAGTTTAACCGAAAGGCATATCAACTTTTCTGCAAAGCCTACAAAAATTTACAGCCATTGAGCAGGAGATACCCATGATTTTACGAGACACGACTACATGAGAGAGAGGTGGACATTTGTGTTTGTATTGAAGTTATTAGAACCTCTGTTTTGTAAGGGAATGAGTCTTTTTGTACCATCAAGAATATGGAGTATGAAATATATTTTTAATGTGTTGGAACGAATGTTTAGAAAGTGTAAAAGGTCCATATTTATGGGGGGAAAAAACCTAATTTTGATGGATTTAATTTGTTAAAAGTAGATGGTTTATAATTATAGAAAGGTCTAATTTAATAGATTTTTATAAAGAGTTCAAATTTCATACTTCTTCATCAATAAGATTATAGAAATAAAATTTGCCATAATTTTTTGTGCTTTTCCAATCCTATATCATTTTGAGGGGTCTTGCGCTTTAAAAAAAAAGTAATGAAATAAATATTTATTTTCTAACCTTTTATTCAATTTCTATTTTATACTTCCAACTTCAATTTTTTTTTTTTTGAGTATTTCTCTCCCCAACTTTTCTTTTCCCTAACATGGTACTCTTAGTATTACAGTTTAAAAAAGTAATGAAATGGTGTTATATATGTATCATATGAGGAAAAAAAAACTCTAAAAAGTGTGCTCAGATTGAAAATTGTAAAAATGTATTAAATCATGAAAATAATTAATATTTTACCAAGTAAATTATAAATTAGTCTCTTTAGTTTTGCAAAACAAATTAAATAGTCTTTTTAACTTCAAAAAAGTAATTAATTAGTTTCATGACCAATGTTGATTATGTTTGAATTAATACGATTATATTTCACAAATTGTCTTTTTTCTCGTCAATCTTTCTATATTATTTTTAAAAAATAAAATAAACTGAATATGAACGTCAAATGCAGTCACAAGGAACTAATTACTAATAAACTATTTAGTTTTTTTCTTCAATCTTTGTTTTTAAAATTTAATAGACTATTTAATTTTTTTTTTTTTGTAAAACTAAGAGAATTAATTTATGATTAATTCATATATTACCTAACATTTTGTTTTAATTCCAGTTTTTCTTATTCCTTTTTACAAAAAAATAAAAATAAAAATGAATATATATTTAATTGGCAAAGAAAAAAGAAGAAAATAACCAAGTTTTGAAACCGGGGGGACCCTTATCCTCACGATCTGCAATGACAATTAGCGGAAGGGCTAATAGAACCCTGAACGATTCCGTATCACCACCACCACCAAATAAACATTATTACTGTGGTCATGAGTCTCGATTGGTCAATGAAAAGAGATGACACGTGTTTTGAATGAATAGAGATACCAAAGTGTCATGCTCTTTGAGGGAAGCGCGTGCCTGTTACGCAGGCTACTCCACACTGTTCACCTCACACTTTACAATTTCAAATTCAGTCCTTTTAATAAAATTATATTTCAATTTAATTATCCATAATGAGGAGAATTATATTTTTGGATATTTCCATCCTCACTTGATATTAATTACGTTCGAGATAGAGGAATAAAAAGAAAATTATCCATTATGTTTGGAATAGGTTGGAAGATTCCCCGTATAATTATTTTTTCTAGTTATAATAACAAGTTTGATAGTTATAATATAACGTTGGTATAAATATTAAAATTTTATCCTAACTCTCATACATAATTAAATATAAATAATTAAAAAATAAATTTAACTGTAAATTTATTCTAAGAGATCAATTGTTCAAAAAAATTACCAGAAGAATTGAAAAATCAAATATATATATATATATGAATATGTATAGTTAAATTCGAGCTCTTCACGGGATGAGGGACGGATTCCTTGCCCTTATTTCCATTTGTCTATAGGAGAAAAAAAGTTTTTTTCATGCCTGCATTTATGAGATAATTTTGTCATTCCAAAACAAATTTTATCAAGATATTAAAGTTGGAAGCTCAAAAAATAGGCAAAAATCTTAAACTCCCAAAGAAAAGGAAAGATTCCTCCACCATTAATTTTTTTTAAAAAAAAAGGAAAAATAAAATATTTTTATTTTTATTTTAAAAATCTAAATTTATTTGTGTAAAAATTAAAATTTTTTTCTATAATTATAAAATTAGGCTAAACCTACTATTTGGACATTGCGTTTTCACAAATCTATCAAATAAGTTTTTATATTTTGAATTGTGATAAATGGAACACGTGTATATTCAATTTCAATCATTTGAGTACAATATTTAGCAAAATCAATAATTTTTGTATGACAATTTGAATAAAAAGAATAATATAATCATATAAAGTGAAACTGCATGTAGTGTGTATATATGTGTGTTTTATATTATCATTTGATTTTTAAGGTATATATAAGAATTATCAATTTTGCAAAACTGTATTCAAATAACTAAAATTAAAAATTTGTGCTTATTTGACTACACTGGAAATACAAGAGCTTAATTAATAAATTTATAAAAAGTTACAAAGTGCAAATAGTGCTTTTTAATATATTAATATAGTGCCGGATGATTTTGATTTGAAAACAAAGTACATGAATTTTAAAATTGCTTTACTTTTGAAATCAAAATATGGTACCTTCTCTTTTTATCCAAAAACAAAGCAATTTATTATGAGATTCGCTATTTTCTTAGGTAAAAAATTAATTTTTGAAAAATACATCGACGAATTATCAAGTGTTACTTTTACAAACATTGCTTTCAACTAACAACACAACACAACGATACTCAGCAGATGCCCAACTTTTATCTTTTCTATTCAACCCATTTACTTGCAGCCAGCTACTACTAATAAAATATAGAGATGTGAACCCCACGTGTCAATTTCCCCGTACTAGGAAGCTTGAATGGGTCCCCGTTATTTTGATAGACTTCCATGAATCCGCTCCCTTGCTTTTTCCGCGGGTAATGCACCTCCATCAAGTTGACATTTCTCCATTTATCAACCTGCCACGTCATGTTGTCGGTACTGTTTATTAACAACATGTTGTCAACCAATGTTTTCCCTCAGAATGGTTTCTAATATCCAATGCCCCCAGTATTTTTTTTTTTTTTGACAATCTCAATTTCATTTTCTCTCTCTTTTTTTTTTTTTTTTTGTTTTTCCCAATTAGAACCCTCTTTTTTTCACCTGGTAAGAGATATTGATCGTGTCATCACGTTTCTAATATAAGTCGCAAAGAATTCCTCATTAGAAACATAAAAAAGAAGAAGCTATAGGTATTCAATTAGATAGAATTAGAAATAGAACACTCAAATATAAATTTACTAAGAGATTGGATACTAAATATTTTTTTCTTTTTTTCTAATTCTAGTCCATTTTTTTTTCATATGGCACATATAATAGCTACATCAACATTTAATTGACATAATGGGACAAAGGTATCTCATTAGGAAAAAACAAATAAAATTTAAAGGTGAGTAACTTAAATAAGTTAAATTGCAGATTAATTGGATATTCAAATATAAAGTTAATAAAAGAATAAATTTTTCGTTTTCTCCACGAGGATTAATGTGCAACACAATTAGGGTGGTTTTTGCTTTTTAGAATGTGCATGCTTTAGATCAAAGAATAAAGCAAAAGTAGATTAGCTTACCGAAGAGCAAGAATAAAAAAATAATGACCAAAAGAAAGAAACAAGTAGGAATAGAATCATTAAGGATATCCTATTTATGGTCCAAATACAATGGCACTTCAATCAATAGAGGAGCATATCTCATGCATGGCCCAAATACGAGTAGGCACTTCGATTAAAGACAGGAATCTAGCTAGCACCTAGCCCGAGGCCTGAAATTGGGAAGAAACATCCTACGTATGTGGCCGGCAAGACTTTATTTCCTCAAAGTCACATTCATGTGATATGCACAATAACATAAAAAAAAGGAACAAAATGGGGAAGAAATATGGAAGGCCATCTTCACTAGCTAGGTGGGGGAGATCATTTCTTAGCACGCTTTCCCAGAGGAATGTTTGGGGTCCCCCTTGAGACCAAAGGGAGAGGTGGGCTTGCCAGATTTTCCAAGTCTCTGAATATTAAAATAACTAATAACATGCAGTAATGATCATTCCATGGATTTGTGGTCATCCAATTAATCAAGTGGGTGACTAAAAATTATATTAGGTAAGCTTTTAGTTGGGGCAGGTAAATTTGTTTTCTAAGTACAATTTGCTTTGAACGTTATGTTTAATTAATAATTAAGATTGCACTTGCAAAAGAGATTAAGACAGTAAGAAACCTAATCTAAGAAATGGGACAAATCAAATTGTTTTTTTTCTCTTGCTTCTGTGCTAGCTAGCTAGCTTATTCCATGAAGTGCATTTTATGGTTGGAAGAATCTCATCGACTCCAATGGATATAACAAGTCAGACCTGACACACCAGACTGGTCTTGAGATAGAAAGAGAGGGAAAAAAGTTCAAGACAATTAGATATTAGTAAGATCACACAGAAGCACTAACTAAACAACACAACTAAGTTGATTAGTTAACTGAGAGGATATTTTTGTCTCGAAACTTCTTCCAAATCTCATTTTCATTGCATACACGAAAACTTAAACTGAACCAACTCTGGACACTCAATACAATAACACTGCAGGTGCAAATTCTGATAGAAGACGTTATGAATACAAGCCATCCTGCCATGAGAAAACCCAGACTCATATTCAAATCTTCTTCTATCTTGACAACATTATAATATGTGTAAGAACCGCTTTTGAAGCCAAAAACCAAATGAGCTTCAAAATTTTTACACTGCTCAAAGAGTAAAGAGAGAAGAATATAAAGCAAAGCGAAAAAGAAACCATATGTATCCTATATATGTTAGTCATGAACAGCTTTCAACATGTGACTCAATACCATGTGAAAAGCAGTGAAAGGAAAGAAGATAAAGCAGTTTCTTGGTCTCCTTGTCTCTTTCTTCTTTCTTTTACCATGATCCTCCACCAAACATCCCATTCCAGTATCCACTTGAAGTCCCTTGTCCCTTGTTTTGATCAACTTCAGACGTTGTGCCTGAAAGCGGTTTCAGTTCACCAAAAGGAAACAAAAGCCTTCCACTATTTTCTTGAACTCCGTATCTACTTCCAAGCCCATCAACAGAAAAACTCAGAGTTGGTTTCAATTCTTGCAAAGGGAATCCTCCAGAAGAATAAAGTGTATTTGAATCTGGCATCGGTGTTGGGATGAAAGAATTCAAACCCCTAGAAGCAATTCCACTCCTTAGTAGCTCCAGAGCTGAAATAGGAGATGAAGTATAGGGAGAAGAAGAAGAGTCATGTTGATTGTTGTTGTTGTTTTCAGTTTTGGCCACTTCAGTATAATGAGATGTACCTTGACTATCCTGCATAGCTGGGAATGCCAGATTAAGGTCTTGACCTTCATGGGTGTTGTTAGGGTTTTGAGAAGAGAAGTGTGAGAGGCTAGGTGGGTTGAGATCAGGAAGCTTAGACGGTGCAGCAGATGCTGCTACTGATGATGATGAAGGTCTCTTGTTCTTTCTTGAACCTCCACCAACAGGAACATTTCTAAGAGATCCTCCTTCAGTCCAGTACCTTCTGCAAGTCTTGCAAAAGTATCTTGGTTGTGTGAGACTGTAGTTGTTATAGTAACAAAACTTGGTGTTGGTTGAGTTACATCTTGGACAGTTCAATTGCTCTGGAGGCTTTGCTTTTCTCTCTAACACAGGCCTTCCACATGTATTAGACGCCATTTCTTCCATGGGCTTTACCAGTTTAATATCCTGCAAACCCTAGAGTCAGACAACAAATTAAAGGAGATCATTAAACCATATAGTACAAAGGAATCAGAACCGTGAAATCTCGAAACCTAATTAAAAGATGGTTGATGAGATAACAATTAGTAGATCAACAAAAAAAAAAAAAAAAGTATAGGGTTTTTGTCTGCAGAATTACATGAAACAGGGAAATTAATATACTTCATTAAGGAAAAGCTAATAAAAGAAAAAAGAAAAAAGCCCTAAAATAGCAGATGATAAGAACAAATTATGCCTTTTCCCTTTATAAGTTCTCACATAAGCAAAAAAGTGAAGAAAGAAAAAAGTTCAATGCTTCCATGCATGGTTCAAAGAACAAACTAAACTTTACCTTTCCATAAAGAAAATTCAAATAGAAAGGACCTGCACTGTGCATGGAGATCTCAAAGAACAAAAAAAAAAAAAAAAAAAGCAGCAAAAAGACACAACAATTCACACTAGATCTCTCAAAACAAACTACTTCAACAATATGCACCATGATATATAACCTTAAAAGCCCTAGACCAGAAAAAAAAACTCACAATTGTACAAAGAAAATTTTATATAGTAATGCTTAGCATACAAATATCTAGTTACCCACCCGTGGCCATGAAGCAGCATCCATAAATTCAGAAGAAAAGGGGGTAAGAAAAGCAACTGATGACTTCAGAGAGAGAGAGAGAGAAAGGGAAAGGAGGATCGTATTCACCTCCTTTGTCTGCAGCTGTTCTTAGTGCAAGAAAGAATGTTTTAGATTGTTTGTATGCTGGCTTTATGTGCTAGTTCACTTTATGAAGATTGAAAGGGGGAAAAAAAAAGATAAAGCAAAAGATAAAGATATGTTTGTTTTGACTACACCACACACACAATGCAATAGTAGACTAGACTAGTAAGGAAAAGGGATTATTAATCACATCTTATGTGGGAATTTTTTGTCAGATTTTCATTCAATAGTGGATTGTACATTTGTTTATTGATCGTGGGTGGAATTATGAGTGTGTGTACTGTGGGTGGGTTTCAACTTTTTGACCTTATAATGGGAAGTCTTTTGATTCTTTTTCGATCTCTTGTCACCTCCCTGTTGTTTTCCTTTTAGTGTTTTCGTTAGGACCACCCATGGATGAAGGTTGGGTTCTGTTTGGTTTATCAAAAAGATAAGGTTATGATTACTTTAACATCTTCACCTGCAATTTGTCAAAAGATCCTTTCTCACAGACTGGCAACTTTTTCATGCTTTCGGAGGCAACTTCCTATTCACCCTATATATATATATTCTTTGCTTGCAGATTAATTAAGCTAGCTCTTGCCAATCACTATTCAATCTGATATATGACGGGGAACTGATTTTCTTAATGCTCTTTTTTTTTTTTTTTAACCTACATGCATATTTAAAGCAACACGAGTCAAACGGGTTTTCGCACAAATAATTTCGGAAATCTTCACATCCATTGATCAAAATTCAATCTTCATTTACTTAGGCTCCCTTTATTATCAATGGAACTTTAGTTGTTGCAAGTCTTCAACTCTTTTGATAAACAAAATCTATCAACATCGAATTGAATTGATCGAGTTTGTTGAATAACAAGCTAACAAAATGTGCAGGTTCATGATCCAGTGGTCTCAACTTGAAAATAGGAAGTTCAAGTTTGTCTTTTGCATAATATTATTTTTTTAAATCATTTCTTATTTAGCCAAAGCTAATAACATTAATAAAGTGTACGTATAAAGTGTATAATCTAGAGTTGAAAAAACACTTCTGAGAGAAAAGGAAAGTATTTAAATCTGCATGCTCAGGTAATATATAGGCAGGGTCAAAATCTTCTAAGCTGGACTAAATTAATATAAATTTTTTACCATCTTCACCAGTATTCCTATGTTACCTTCTTTTTTTTTTTTTTCCAAAAATGTTTGAGCCTAAAACCTTAAACGGATACCGTTATTTAAGAAATTTTTTTAAATATATAATAATTCAAGCATAAAATTATTTATTTAAATAATTAAAATTCATTCCACTGTTTACTCTTATGTTACTTTAGTTAATTACAAACAAATATCTTTATAGTATTAATCAAGGGGCGGATTGCAAGGAAAGCTACAAATTGAGAAGTGAAAATGGAAAGTTCGCGGAGGGAGAAGGGGAGCCGACAAGAGCCGACAAAAGCAAAAGTGGTGGGGGCCCAAATAATGCGCGGGAGAGAATTGAAGGGAAATTCCCTTGTTAGATGTTTTTTAGGTGATGCTGACAGCTATGGCTTCAAATTCTTCGAAATAGCCAAGGAACCGAATCTTACTGGCAGTTTCAGTTGGATTGTCGTTTGTTATCTTATGCTGCCTCTTTCTTCGTCGTCTTCTTTTTTTTTTTTTTAAATGCTGCCTTCAAATCAAGAAGCTACGTGCATAATCTTAAAGATACTGTCACCATACGATGATATTAATATTTTCCACCAAACTGAAGAAAATAATGCTTAATGTTAGGATAAATTGAGTTGATCATCGTCTATAGGTTTTAACAGAGTTACAAGATACTGTTGATGGATGCATGGATGATTTATTTATCTTATATAAAAAATTTTACTGCATGTTTTTAGAGAACCCTTTTTTTAATACACTAGATTCGTATCAATAGCAGTTTAATTAACTATAACAATAAGAAAAGATAAAATGACATTTTACTTCAAATATCTTTGGAATTCCTTTTTAAATTTCTCAGTTATAAACAAACAAAAAAGTGATATTTTACTGGGAATTTCCTTTGTTGTTGAACTTCTGCAGAGAACTCTAATTGGTTATAGAAGAGAATTCCAGTTGGAGTAAACTTTAAGGCATATGCATATTTTAACCTTTGGATTTTCTCACGTCAATACAATTTTTTTTTTAATTTAATTATTTATTTACCACTTAACCCTGTTATTTATATTGAAATTGCTTTACTTTCAGTATTGTTATTTGTTTCAATTGATTTTCATACTTAGTATTCTTAGAATTGGTAAGCTGGATTTGTTTGAAAAATTTTTAAATTAATGCTCAATGATTGATTATTAATATTAATTTTATGGGCCCAGAGAACAAAGATAAACATAAAAAATTATGTATCCAAACAAACCAAAAGTAATAAAAATATTTCATATATATTTCGTTTTTATTTTTAATTCTCTGTCTTCTATTTCTTTTTCTTTTCTTTCTTTTTTTTTTTTTTTTGAAAAAAAAACTTAGTAGTGAAGTGGATTCACTAGACCAAGATCGATCATCAACAAAGTTACGAATAAATCAAACCAGAGAAATAGCTTTAAAAAATATATATATATACACAAATTGCACTTATTGCTGAAATTTATACTGGACTTATAATAGACTACAAACAAAATATATATATATATATATGCACACACACCAGATACTTATGTAAGACAATAAGACAGCAAACACTATGAAATGAATGAAAAGATAGTAAAAAAAACTTGGCTGGACTCTTGACTATAATAAATCATCTCCTAGAACAATTCCAAAAAAAAAAACCTTTAATAAATAAACAGTCCCCTTAAAGAGGTTATTTGGAAACCAGGCTAAGTTTATTACGAATTGCTTTAAATGATCCTTAAGACAAAGACTCGCTGAAGATATCAGTAACATTCTCCCCATACGGCTTTAGTTAAATGTTTAAAATGCAACCAAACGCTTTTTTTTTTTTTTACAAAGTCGAAGATTATATTATAGGCATAAACTAACAGAGCATTAGTATACAAAAATTATAAGGAAACTACGAAGTCATTAACTTCTGCAGACTAGAATTAGTAAATTAGAAAGTCAATCACATAACTCTTTTCTATCTGAATATGAGGAAAAAAGATAAATTTTAAATAGAATATCAAATTAAAAATATCATTAAACAAACTCTGAAGTTTTCAAATTTTAGGAGCTGAAGTTTTGTGCATCCAAACAATAAAATTGGCTGAATCTGACTCTATAACTCAGTGGACTTAATGAGCTAAAAGAGAAGCGGCAATAATATTCAACGCTTTCTGAACCGCCAGCATCTCCACTTTATTTGAATCTTTAATCTTCGTTGAACATGAAAAAATACATATAAAATTTTCATAATGATCTTGTAATACACCACCAATACTAAATATTTTAGATTCACATTCTATTTCAAAGAACCAATAGGAGGAGAAACCCAACTAGTGACAGCTTGCAATTTGTCCAAATGCAACCAACTCTTACTGGTCTGTAAAGATGTCTAATTTTTTTTTCAGCCATTCCAATTTGTTGTGGTGTTTCGGCATAACTAAGCTCTCTCTTGATCCCATGTTGCTCACAAAATGAAAAAAAAAAAAAAAAATTCAGCAAAAGTTAGCTCTCCTCCATTATCTGTTCGAAATTGTTTGATTTTTGCACCAAATATACCTTCTATGGTTTCTTTGAACTCAAAAAAATCTGGCAAAAACTTGAGATTTATGTTTCTCAAAATAAAGTCATCGACAAAGATCAACATACATTCATATAACCAGAATAAGAGGAAATTCTGGCATGTCCCATCAAGTCACTATGAACACGCCCTAAAAGAATCTTGCATCTTGAAAGAGACTTATCAAACGAAGACGATGTTTCTTTCTATATTGGCAGCATTCCCAGATTTATCTATCACAAAACTTAGTTAAATTTGGCCATCCTTCAACTTACTCATGTTAAGATGACCAAGTGTAGAATGCTATAAATATGCGTTATCATTATTACTCTTTTTTCAGCATATGAAGAAGAAGCTCATAAAACAAATAAGTCGTTGACTCGTTTACCTGTATGGACAACATCGCTTCTAAAACCTTAATATTTTTTTGAAAGAACTTAACATCACGTGAACCAAACAACATAAAATTTCCAGAATCCACAGAATTAGTTATAGAAAGAGATTTTTTCACTTCTGGAGCATCAAAGACGCTGCTGAGTTTGATAGAATCGTC